TTCCATGTAACATTGGAGGAATAACAGTGCATAGTTTTGATTAATAGGCCTAGGTAAAGGAAAAGCTCCAGATCTCTTGAAAAATGGTCCGCCGAAACAGGAAGGCATCCATGAGGTGGAACTACACAAACGTTTTAGTGATTGATGAGATTTCAATGATTGATGCTAAATTGTTTGAGAAGCTTGATTATGTCGCTAGACATATTAGGAGAAAGAAAAATGTTCCATTTGGAGGATTGCAACTCATAGTGTGTGGGGACTTCTATCAGCTACCTCCAGTGAGTAAGATAGAGTACCAGGTCGATGGAAGCGAACTTAAAGAGGATGCTGCCTTCGCTTTTGAAAGTGAATCTTGGAATCAAGTAGTCCAAGCAAAAATTATCTTGAAGGAAGTCTTTCGGCAAAAGGGTGACCAGAAATTTATTGATATTTTGAATGATATGAGGCACGGTGTTGTTACTCCTGCAGCAGAAGCTGAGTTTGCTCGTCTTTCTCGGCCTCTAAGCTGTCCTGCTGGGATTGTACCCACGGAGTTATATGCGACACGTTATGAGGTTGATAGTGCGAACAATATGAAGTTAGCTCAGCTTCGGGGATCCACACGGCTTTTTGAGTCAAAAGATGGGGGCACGCTACCTTTGAATATAAGATCAGCGATGCTAATGAATTTTCTTGCACCACAGAAGCTCTTCTTGAAATTAAATGCTCAGGGTTTATGTGCATCAAAAACTTTGACGATACATTGGTGAATGGCTCACTTGGAAAAGTCGTTGGTTTCTTAGATCGCGATACTTATATGTGCTCTGAAATCAACAAGCAGCTGCCAAATCTCAGCTTTGACGAGTTCCAAAAGGTTCTTAAAAAAAAGAAAAAAGTTGAATTCGTTATATCGCAAAAGGAAGGCGGAGGCCAGGGAAAACTTTAGATTCTGAAACGAAACTTTAAGCTATCTCAGGATATAGAAAATTCCTCCCAACCATTGCTTGACAGCGTATTTAATTTCTTCTATGAGAATACTGAAGATTCGAGTGAAACCACATGAAGAGCAGATGACCACGGAACAATTAGTTTCACAAAATAGGAAACGCAAGTTCGACTTTATTCAACAAATACAGCAATCATCAAAAGGAGAGAAATTTCCTTTGGTTCGCTTTTTAAACCCCGATGGAGTGACCACTAGAGATGTTTTAGTCGAACCAGAGAAGTGGGAAATTACTGACGACAAATCAGGGGAAGTTTTAGCTTCAAGGGTACAGTTACCATTGATGCTTGCTTGGGCATTGTCTATACACAAATCGCAGGGCCAAACATTACAAAAAGTTAAAGTCGATCTAACTAGAATTTTCGAAAACGGTCAAGCTTATGTCGCCTTGTCAAGAGCTGTTTCTCGCGATGGTTTACAAGTTGTGAATTTCAGTAAACAAAAAGTCCGAACACATAGTATTGTGGAGGAATTTTATGAATCATTGTCTACTTCAGAGGATTTGGCATACATCAAGGAAAGAAAATAAATACATTTAGTTCAGGGAAAGGTTATATATTACATAGGATTATTTGAAACTTTTATATTTCATTTTTCGTTATCATCATGAAGGTAAGACGCTAAGAATCAAAATCAAATGGAGTTGCGTCTATAAATGCGCAGCTTGTTATTGTCACCTTGCAAGTTGGTTTTCATACCTGGGATTGATGGTAGCTTACCTTCAGGACTCCCATTTAGTGAGCACTTTATCGGCATACGCTAGCCCAACGTTGTAAATCTCGTCGAATTTCAAAAAATCAAGAGTAGCATAGTCATCGATAGGTGGACGAAGATAGATGACACCTGGAGTTCTCTTTGCCATCTCGAGAGCGTTGACACTAGCAACATATGCCAATCTAAGCTGAATTTCCATCATATTTGGAACATTGGGATGCTTAGAAAATGGATTTATTCTGTTTAAAAGGACCCAGAAACCTGACAAGGTATCTCCATAATTCATTGGAGTTCTATCATCGATCGATCCAACATCGACGGCAATGATGTACTTAGCTCCCCTATTCTTCATCTCCAATACTGGAAGGTTATCCAAGTATCCACCATCTAAAAGCATAGAGCCATTGAAAGTTATAGGAGGAAGTAAGCCAGCCAATGACATCGATGCTCTAATAAATCTCCAAGCATACCCCGTTTCGTGAATTTCCATTGTAGAATTCGTGATATTCGTCGAGTTGCAAAAGTATCTAATCCAAAAATCTTCAATCTGGTGATATCCAAAGACCTTCCATATGCCTCTGTTAAATTCATAACCAGTAATATAGGAAGTCACAGGGTATGTCAAATCTAGAATAGATCTCCAAATAGACCCAATTCGCCTGGAGAATTTCTTAGTCATCCCGTAAATCGAAACACTATTATACTCCTTTGCATAAAGACCGCCCACAAATGAGCCAATAGATGTACCACCTATCATATCAACAGGAATTCCATGTTTTTCTAACGCCGTTACAACACCAACATGCGATATACCTCTTGATCCTCCTCCACCCAAGACAAGTCCGACGGATTGATTGGAAAGAATTCGTGCTAATCGCAAAAAGTCATTCTTATGAACAGCAGAAGTTTCCTCCGTATAGTTGACTCTTTCATTAAGTCTGACTAACGAGGCAATTGCCCGGGACTTCACGTTTTCAAACTTCAATTTAATGTTTGGATTAGCTTTACTGCTCAACTTGAGGGCTAATTCCGAAAGAATGTTGCCCTTTTTCTTCACATTATTAACTGCATTGTCTTTCAGTAATTCCATTTGAATGTGATGATGTCCATGTACCCAGAGTCTGTTTTTGAGCCAGATACTTGTGGATCCAGGAAAAACAGATTTCTCTGGATGTATCAAACATAACTCCGTACGAGCAGTGGTTTTGAGTTTAAGAAGGACCTTTTCGTAATCACCAGCACTTGTTGCACATTCATCATCTTCGGCATCAGCTAGTAACAAAATACAATCTCCTTGAGAGATGCATGTTGATGTCCAGTTTGATTTCAACGGAGTGTCACACACGTAAATGACTGTATCATATTCTTCTTCCAAAAAGGCGAAGAATCCAGAAAGTTTGAGCCTTGCTAACCTCTCGTCAAAAGCGTTTCGTCCAAGATGTGTGAGGATAGATGCCTGATCAAGTGCAATAACCTTACGACCTATAGCCTTCATAGCATGCACTAATCGCTCAGAAAATTCTCTAACAGGAAGACCATTGACTGTCGGTAAGATTGTGATAGTCTTATAGTCACTGTTGATCTTAGATACAGAGGATGATGTGACGGTTGCAACAGCAGTTGCATACTTTTCGTTCTTGCTCATTTGTATGGCACGATCCGCAACGATACGTGTCACCTTAACCATAATCGACGGAATTCTCATTGACAACATTTCAAACAAGGCTCTGGGAATTCTAGCCGTCTCGGAGTCTCTGACTGCAATCAATGAGTTCGTTCTTCTGGAAGCTGTCAAGACCTCTACTTCTCCCACAGACTCACCATGACCATACTCACCTAGCACTTCATAATCATCGCTTTTCACTGTATGAGAATGCACATTTGAATTGTCAATGAGAGTATTTGGAGTGAGAGGAGATGTATCATCAGTATCCAAATTTTTGTAGCGAATGACACGAAACCTACCACTCAATACTATATGAAACCCATTTGCAAGGTCTCCCTGATTGCACAAAATTCCACCAGCAGGAATATGACACCACTCTAGCGCAAAGTCAATTGTACGAATTATACCCGGAAGCAACGACTTGAGCTTTGCGGCAACAGGAAGTTGCAAGAAATAAAATTTATCCATCATAGCAGAAATGTCCTTCTTTGAAATATGCGCAACAATAGCACCACTGCTTCCACTTTTAATGCCCACTAATGATTTGAACCCGAGAATGGTACTCAAGTAGCCAGCTAATTCTCCAGAATTAACTACATATAATGTTTTCGGAGCCGAATTTTCAGAATCAGACTTGGATGGGAAATCAAGAAGCACTTCTAAACTACCATCTATCACGTAGTACAATCCCGTATCAGAAGAATTTTGGGGAACTAAAGTTGTATTCGCCGCGTAATATTTCACTTCAATGTACTTGCTGAAGGCATTCTTTATGGAAGCAAAATTGAGACCGTTTGATAAACTGCTCGACTCCCTCCTCTTATCAGGTAAATGGTCCTGACCATTTACTTTTCTTGAGCCATCCTTAGTCTGGTAAATTGTGTTATAAAACTTCTGGGAGTTCAAGTTTAAGGACGATGATGGGCGCGATGTTGATTTGAATGATAAACCTTTCTGCGTTGCGTCTGTAGTAAAATCTGAAAGGTACTTTTCGCCACTTATTGGAACAGAATTATCGCCACCCATCAATGCAGACAATCCAATCTGAGATGAATTGGCAGAAAGCTGGCCACTCGTCATTGCAGATAAGTTCATGTTCAAAGCTAACTCTTCGATTCCGAGCATTTTGAAAATAATTTCAACTATGGCAACACGAAGCGAAGTTTCCTCAGTTTCTTCTCTCTCATCTGAGAATACACGGTCCCTAATATTCTCCGCAGGCTTATGACTATGCTTCTTATTCAATTTGGGAAGAAGAGGGCTTTCACTAGAACTATTGTTCTTTGGCCGTGGATGTTTCCTGGACGAGTCTTCCTCTTCATTATTCCACAGACTTGGTTCCTTGTTAAGGTCAGGTTTTCTAGATAAAGGAACTGAGGAGAGCAAATCTCCAGGATGCGATGATTTGGAACGCGATGCTAACACAACATATCTTGATGAGCTTTCTCTATTCAAAGTGCGGGGTTTCTTTGTCGATTTTGGAAATATATCAACAGAGTTAAGTTTCCCAGATTGCTTCGTACGGTAGTGATTGAATTTCTCAATTACACCGTTATAAAGATAACTAGGTAGTTTGCTCTCTTCAGTTGAAGCATTCAATGCGACTTCACAGTCAAAGATCTCCTTTGTTAAGCCCAAGTAGTTATGGACAGCATTCATGGTCACTTTGTGTAACCTCATAAGCACCATAGTCACGATATGAGATGTGGCTTTAGGATATTTCGATTGGACTCTCTGAAATGACAGATGAGGGATTATTGCGATTGTTGCCGTAGAATCCTCAGGTTTAGAGCCAGCCTTTTTTGGCCGAACAACTATATCCGGAAGTTGAGCAGACGAATAATCTAGTGAAGGCAAGTTGTTTTGATCCAAATATCCCATTGGCAGATCAGGAGATGGTGGAACTGTTGAGCCAAAGGAAGGGGAATGAAGGGAAAAATTTTGAAATTGGGGTGTATCCTTCCAGAGGAAACCTTGAGGGCCCCACTCCGTTGGTCTTATTGAATTGGGTGATAATGCTGAGGCCGACCTTTCAATACCATTTGCTTTCAGCTTGGGTAATAATTCTTTTTCGGGAGAATTGATAGGGGAGCTCAATGAATTTCGTGATCTGAAAAGATCCAAGGTGCTTAGTAACGAAGACAATGGCGAGCCGCTCTTGACCTCATTCAATAGCTGGTATCTATGCTCCCCAATAATCAAGACATCTTCCAGATCTTGCTCAGTGTACTCCAGCGGTGATCCATTGCCCTGTTCTACCTTTGTGAAAACTTGTACTGTTCCTTCTACCACGATGGAAAACCCTAGCTTTTCCTCCAAATAGAGAATTTCATCACAAGCGAGTTTTTGAGTAGTCATACTCTTGGTAAGTTCGTGGAAAACGGGTCGTTCTAAGTACCCAAACACCTTGATGGCGCTGAGAAACTCATCCAAGTAGTTCTTTGATTTGTCCGTCCCACGCTTCTTTTTTGCACCATTAACATAGTCCACACCCACTCCAAGTTTCAGACCTGATTTCTCGGGTTTTGCTGGGGAGTTTTTTGAGTAGCGGGTGAGGTATTTGTGTCGCACAATTAAGTAACTGAGTGAAACAGTAATTGCAAGATAGAGAAGCATCAGCAGAAGGGACAACGTCACCAGGAAGCGTGTTTGGAGTATCGATACTGTCTTCTTCGGGAGAACGACCACCACGTTGTTAACTAGCACAAGTAATATCCATAGCCAGTAGAGCATGATGTTCACAACGGAAGTATAAACCGAGCGAGCCGAAGAGTAAGAAGGCTCCACCCTTGCGACGGCATCGGAAGCTGAAACAAAACCTATTTCAGCCAGCATCGTATAGGCGTTGTCGCTACGATCGTGTGAGCGAAAAAAAATCCAAAAGCACGACCAAAGATTCGATGTCTTTCGATATTCTAGTTAGAGCAACCCGATGCACGTGCCGCGATAAATCTGGAGTGCATCTACTTCATTTCTCCTACAAGGTATGCACATTGTACGTATGTCTCACTTCCATACAGGACATTAGTTGACACATTATTTTCTCTTACCGATTTGCTGTTACCCCCAAAGTCCAAGTCCTAGTCTTAGAATAGCAATAAGTAGCAAGGTGTCCATTTATTTATTTCCTATTTTGGGAATCATCATATCCAACGGGCAAGCAATCGAACCGTCTCAAAATGCGTTCGATACCGTCCATCCCTTTCACCAATTGCGGCAATTCAGGACCGTAGCTAATACGTACAAAGTTGTACCAGATCACATCCTCGAGTCTACTCAAATTTTGCGGATTAATCAAAAAGAAAAATCCGGGTACGACAATCACCTTTTCGTGAAGGCACTCGTGGAAGAAACCAAGACAGTTGCTCAATTTTCCTGGTAGATGAGAGAGCTTGAGCCAGAGGTAAAATGTAGAGTTTGGAGTATTCTTTTCACTGAAATGGAAACCCATAGCTTTCAATCGACTAATAATGTAGTCACGTTTCATTTTGAAGTGCAACTGTAGAGCCTGCATCTCTTGCTTAACTTTCAATGGTTTCAAGAATTCCGCGGCAACGTACTGAAATGGAGCATTCGACCCACCGTCCAAGAAGGAACCTGCAGAGCTTAATGCACTGATGTAGTCTTCAGGGCCCAATACCCAACAGATACGCCAACCTGGTAAGCGAAATGCCTTCGTGAGACCATTCAACAAGAGAACTGGATCCTTGTTAACGTCTTGGACAAATTCTGCAGAGGATATGGATGAGCCTGTGCAACCTTCGTCATAATAGTAATGCGAATAGAACTCATCCATGATCAAGAGGCATTTTTCTCTGCACATATCATGAAGCCGCTTCAATTGATCCCGCGTCATACAATGACCAGTAGGATTTCTAGGGTTCGAAGTAAGTAATGCCGAAACACCCCTTTTTAATTCCAATTCGATAACATTCAAGTGCATCTCATAATTATCAGCTTCTTCTAAGGGGACAGGGATAGGCGAAAAATTTTTGAAAAGAGAGAGCATCTCGGCATATGCTGTATAATCTGGTAAGAAGAAAGACAAGTAGCAATCGCTAATAATGGATGCAATTCGCGTCAACCCAGCCCGGCCACCTGGAACGATGCACACATTTTTGTATGTATACTTGGATGACCATTTTTGGCGGTATGTTTCATTGTAGTAATTGGCCACGGCCTCACGCAACTCTTTGATTCCAGCAGTCGGTGCATACTCTTTGCTTATATCAGTAATGGGGACGGATGTAGGTCTTTTGAACGATCCGGGAACCGTGTCTCCATGTTCCGGAGCACCTTGTCCCAAATTTGCCCATGAATCATCGCCATTGCCTTGATACCCGTATTCTGTTGCTCTTTCAGTGACCCATAAGACACCAGTTGAAGACTGTTTTGTGTTCATAGCAGGCTTATTGATCTCCTCATTAAATTTCGGCCGAGGTACCGGAATAGGTGAGCTTGACCTGCCATTTTCCGAATGGGAGAGTTTTTGAAGCAAGCGGTTGTGGTGCTGTTCATTTACAGTCAATTTATTTGTCTTTGTTGGTGCTGATGGTGGAGTTCTAGACAGAGGGCCATCTAGAAACGACGAAGGTAAATGTTCACGGCTCTGGCTCGAAAGTTTCTCCAAAAGGGAAGAAGCGCTGCGGCGAAGAGGCCCGGGTAATGTGGACTCAAGACGCTCAAATTCGCTAACAGACTCGTCGTCTGAGGCATAAACTGACATTGTTGTTCTTTTTCGTGGTCAATTTCTCAAGACTTCCTTAGCACTGGAGGTAAAGGCGTTTATAAATGTGGGGTGTGCGCATTGGCTAGTAATGAGTAATATTTCGCGGACGGAAGGGCCTGCGGATACGGAACCTTTTTCTTCATCTTAGCACGAGAGTGGCCTTGGCAGTCATCACAAGTGTGCTAAACCGATGTGGAAAAAAGTGTAGGAGATGCCCACCAAGTCATCATTGCTTGCTCACAGTGTGTTTTATATGGTGTTCCTTGCCATTGTAATCCAAATGTCTCACCACTGGAGAGAGATGTCTTGATGCCACAAGAGTGTAGTTTGAATGAGTGAGTTCAAACACTGGAGTCAGCAACAAGATGAATTGTCATTTGAACCGAACGCTTGTCTTGCTTCGATTCTGATGAGGTTGTATTCGTACGGCGCAGTGACTATTACTCAAGACGGTTAGTTATTTGTTCGCAAGGAAAGCTTGTCTTTCGGAGATGGTACTCGTCTCGACCTGTCTGCCTACATGCACCAATCACATTGTCCGGGCAATTTTAGAATAGCATGACAGTCTTCTCCACTTTGTCTGGGAAAATGCGTGCTCCGAGGCATGCGGCTCTTTCTTAACTGGGCGCGAGCCGCATAAATACGTTTGAAAGCGTCTTATGTGCACACAGTGTGTGCCCGATTCGGGGTATTGCACGGCATTTCTCCATTGTGGCCACTACGAGCCATGATGGAGTGAGACCGGCAGAAATACACCCACTCTGATTTGCTTGATCTATATAAGAGTTTTAGTCCAGCGGATTTTTCCTCCTCTGCATATTCCTTCTTCTCTTATCAATAGTCCTTATACTCTCTTCTCTCTCCGTTCCAAAGGACCCATCGCCTGTACATTGTACGATGCTAACGAGGATTCCTAGATGTCCCCCCGCAAATTACACATACCCTTCTTCTTCTTCCGAAACCATGGGCCAGAGTTCGCTGAAACCAGCGTTCGGCGCAGCATTAACTCCCCTGTCGACAATCCCGAACTCAAAATCCCAGAACAAGTCTTATCTTGACCGCAACTTGCCTAATATCTTCACCGTGCTTAACAAAGAGTACGCCAATGACTACGATTACCAGCGGCATCATACGAAAAAAGATCTGGCTGCGGAGGAGCAAGGGGGTCTCTTCTTGCTGCCGGTCATGTCTAACGAAACCGCCATTTCCCTGCTTTCCGCTTCTTCCGTGACTAAGGATTTTATGTTAGTGGATCCGCAAGTAGTCAATGTGCTGCAGACTCAAAACTTTTCGCCACTTCTACTGCTTCCGATGGAAATTTTATACCAAATTATTGAGATTGTCTACTACGATGAGAGCACATCATCGATTCCTGCGAATTTGGAAAAGTTCTCCAAAACTATACCTGTTCTCCTGAAAACGTTCAACCAGTTGGCGATCCGCTTCTTATATAAGTACGCCATCTTCAACCGACCCCATTCTTTTGACCGTTTTCTACGCAATGTTGTGAAACAGCCTGATATTGGTCAATACGTCGAATTTATGGATTTCCAGACGTTTACATCCATTGGCTTAGGAAGGACCGGAAGAATGAACCAAGAAATTCAGATGGTCACTTCTGAAACGATTCTGACTGCATTACGTTTGTGTCCTAATTTGATAGAGTTCTTGGCATCCGAAAATATCCAAGATGACATGGACGTCCAAGTGCTTCTGCTTCTTTTCAATGAATTACCTAAGATCCAGGCTATCGATTTCTGTGGAGCTTCCCTGAAACTGTTCGCTGATGCCTTCAATCAGCTTGTTATTCATGACAGGATGGATTCAGTAATGTCTGATGATAGCGACACTCCTGATTTTCTGGAGCACAATTTGAACCACCTTTTCAAACTTTCTTTCCATGATTGTTCGAACTTGGCACCTTCTGTGTTCCAGAAAATTCTCCCTCATTTGGTTAATCTCAGGCGTCTTGATGTTACGCACACGTCAATAACCTCAACTATCCTTTTCTCTCATGTTCCTGAGTCCTGTAGACTCACACACTTATCCTTAGCACGCTGCTCTAAATTGACAACAAAAGACTTGATCCAATTCTTGACCCGCCACCCTGCCGTTTCGCAAGGTTCATTGAAATGGCTCAACTTGCAGATTGATTCCAACGTTGTTTCTCCCTTGAGTGATCAATACCTTTTGTTTACTTTGAAATCTCTTAATGCGCCAGATTTAAGGTACCTCAACTTGGGAGGAATGCCTGTGAATAAAGCTGTTCTCAACTTGATCAAAACAAGATTTACAAACCTAGAGAGCTTAGCCATTTCACATTCTAATGTCGATATGAACGACTTGATACAATACATGGATAATAACTTGGCTATCAAATTCCTTGATGTCACAAACTGCAAAGCTTTGAGCAGAAGAAACCTCACACATTTTTTGAAATCATGTTATGACTCGAACCTTGAAGCTCTAGAGTTTGATTACAGGGTTCTCTATGACCTTACCGGTGGGGATCACATTCGGGTAGATCCCGTGCAAACAGATTTTTCAATAGGAAGCACAGCATATCTTCCACAAGCTTGGAAGTTTTACGATAATGAAGGACGACGCTCATGGATTTACAAGATTGACTCCTCCGACCCATCATATGATGCCATTATATCCGGCAATTCTTCTGCATCTTCCCAACCATCTGGTTTGGTTTACTATGATTTGGAAACGGGTGCAAAAATTGAATCAAAAACATCAAAGCCAGCATTTTTGAAGTATGCTTCGAGAAAAATCAATTGCTCGATTGGCTATTATAATTTGAAAACTACAAAGAAGAAGGATTATATCAACGGAGGTTTGAATGAACTGGTCTGGCCCGTTGAATTCAGCCAGAGAGGAATTTACAATTACTACTCGTTAAATGTGAAATAGCATGAAAATGTGAAGCAGATCAGCAGGTTCTTGATCATGATAAGCAGTTGATATTCATTTTTAGTTTCATGTCTCAACAAAAGAAGGTTGGGCAAGTGAGAGGCATACGTCTTTTTTTATATTTCTTTGAAGCACCATTTGCAGTGAATAATGGTCAAACAGAATGACCCTCTACACGGCATAAGCTTCCAATTGCATAATATAGAAGGTTTCATCTTGTATAACTGAAGTGCGTACATCGCGGACTAGATAATCACTACAGTACTTTTTCGCGCTTAGGCTCGGAAAATTATCGTAAACGTTCAAGGAACAGCGGCTTACTCATCCACTTCTCATCCACTTCTCATAAACATGCCCATCAAACTGTATTCAGATTTGGGTGGAAAGTGGCCAACAGGAATCGTTAGATGTCCTTTTGATTCGTGCAACACTCGCATCATCGCTTTAACTCCGCAGCTAGCTTCGACTGAAGTACTTTTAGAGAATGCTCCATCCATGGCGGCTCAGGGTAAGTCTTTCTTGCAAGTGAATGATGTGTGGGACTTTGACAATGTTGGTGTGTCACGGACAGCCCCAGATCTCGAAAAAAGCGAAGCGGTGGGCCAACTCTCTAAAGTGGAGCGTTTACTCATTTGTGGCGAATGCGATAAAGGACCCATCGGTTTTGCTGGTTATGTGAATGCCCAAGATTCAGACGTTAAAAATCTTCGATACTACTTGTCGTGTGACACGGTCAAATATGACGTTTAAATTCAATCAAGTATAATAAGATGCATATAACAGACAAGATTCATGGTATTTGGGAAATATAAGAAATGGAAGACTAAAGAAAATCATCGAGAATGCATACGATGCATGTTGTTTGTTTCTTACAACCGTACTGTGCGGTGTGTCTTGGCAATTTCCAACGCCGTGTGGCGGGCAAAAGCCATTGTTGTGATCATTGGGTTGGCACCTGAAGCGGTTGGTAGGAGACTAGAATCAGCCACAAAAACGTTTTCACACTCGTAAAGTCGGCCAGTGGTGTCGCAAGCTCCATCTGCTGGTCCTTTCCCACTCATGCGGCAAGTACTCATCTGGTGAGCTGAACCATAACTGAGACCAAATGCGGACAATGGAATATTCTCACAATGTTTCCGCCATTCCTGATAATCCTTATCTGTGATTGCACGCTCTTCCTTTGGCTTGCTGCTTGTGAAACGACGTACTTTCCAGTATGGATGGATGATTTCCTTACCACCTTCAACGTAAATAATATCGGCCGCCGCTAACATGGCCTGTTGTATTGAATACCGGTCAAACTTGTTTATGGTATAGTCCACAAGTAAAGCATCATCCTTACTAGCGTCATATGACACTGTACCTGACAGCGTGTCTCGCGCCAACAAGATAAAGGCGCCGGTTTTCTGGTACTTCAACATATCTTGCCGCAACTGGTCTGATGAGGACCATGGGAAGAAGGCTGACTCTAACATAGGAGTGTGTAAGAGTGTCTCGATTCTTGCTCCATGGGCCTTTCCATCCAAGTCGGCAGTCTGGGAACAGATTGATGTCATGATCGAATGGTTATAAGGCTCCGTATCATCGTCCCAGACTCCAAAAATTGCCGAAATTGGGTGCAACTTTAAATGCTTACCGATATTCCGGTTGCGGAAACCTGACTTTTGGAGAAGAACAGGCGTCTGGAGTGATCCAGAAGACACCACATATTTTTTTGGCCCTCTGATTGTGAAGATTTTTCCGTTTCTTAGATTGGTACACTCAACCCCCACTGCTAGTCCCCTCTTATTACGCAATATCCTCTGCACTAAAACCTGGTCCATGAATTCTGTACCGTTGCTGGCTGCGTCCCTAAACCAGTGATTTGCAGAGCCTTGTTTGATTCCCCATTTACATCCTAAGTGGCACAAGCCGCATGAGTGGTTGGTATGCCGCCCGTTATTCTGATGTATGGGTCTAGCAGGATACCCTAATTTGGAGGCTCCTTCCAAAAGAACCTTGTTAGTGTGCGAATGAGTGATACATTCCGTAGATGCTCCCATTTGCTGGAAGACGTAATCCATGTCAGTGTCATATGACTCGTTGGCAACCCACTCGACTCCATGGTTGTCGTACCATTCCTTCCGAACCTTGAAAGGTGTTTTGATACAAGCTGACCAATTGATAGTGGAACCTCCACCAAAAGTTGCACCAGCCAAGAGAAGAGTTTGTGCGTTGGTGGTCGCTATATTTCCTCCACCTTCGTACAATGCTTTAAATCCGCTCTTGTCGTCAAAAACAAACTCCTGGTTCTTGTAATATTTCCCTTTTTCAAGAACAAGACACTTGATGCCACTTTTCGCTAATGTATGGGCTACAACGCCTGCTCCAGAACCCGAACCAATAATAAGAGCGTCAATGTGTGGTACGTACAACTCCACATTTTCTTCAACTGGTGGGCTCATCATTGTGTACTCAAAGTCATCCCTTTTATAATCCTCGTGCAATGACTCTCTCGCATCTGTTTTAGGGAACCGCATTGCCTCAGCATGAAGATCAGGCATTATTCGTTGGAATGTTGTAACAGTAAGAGTCAAAATAAGACTAAAGATCTTATTCTTTGTCTCGAACGGAGAATTCCTCCACGAAAGAAGAATCCTAGCCTTCTCATCGTCATCCATTTCCCGCAAAAGCTTAGTTGTTCCTGTGAGAGCAGGCGATAATGTTCTCAGTCCTAATACTGTAGTCAAAAAGCAAAAGAGACGGATTGAATCGGAAGTGTTAGAGACGACAGTCTCTTTTAAAACTTCTCTGAAAGCTGGGATTTTAGAAGGTCTCGAAACAACTTGGGTGTATTCTTCGAGCTTTGAATCGGCAAATTCTTTAGACACATATGGTCTGATGATTTCTGGCTTCACCTCATGGATGAATCCATCACAGATGGCAATGAATTCGTCCAAATGTCTGTCTTCAACTTTATTTGGTAAAAAGTTCATTTTCAGTGAGTGGTAGGAACAAGGAGAACTTCAATCAACTATGCATTTCTTGAGGTACAATTCATCATGTCCACTCTTTATAGGTTCGTCAACCCCACATTACGCGAAATGAATGTCTTGTGAAAATACTCCCGGAACCTGCATATCTGAGAAACATAAGCTCATCTTAAGATAAGCACATGCTTCAAAGGAGAGATCCGGCACCCATAACTTACGAAGTATAGGGTCTTAATTTTTGGCGCTCAATGGTAAGAAGTCTCGTTTTTTCTACCTCTTCTTTGTTTATTTTGTCTCTTCCATGCCGCATGAATTGCATGTGAAATACCAAAAATATGGCCAACATTACATCATTAAATGTTCATTAGTCGATATATATCACATAATTTAGTTTGAACTTTTCTGTTCAACGGACTCCACAAATATCCCACTCTTATCTTCATGAATTTCTTCTCTCCCTTGTAGCATGACCGTTTCAAACTTTTGCAAAGCGTGAGAGTGGGCTCTCCAAGCGGGCACTTCAAACAAATAATCAACAGCTTCCAAAGGCACGTTCTTTGTTTCCGGATAAATGAAAAACACAACGACTGGAAATACAAGAGAGCAAGATGCGAACAAAAAGTAGTATCCGTATCCTATCGCATTCAATGCCTGGCCAGTGAAGTGGCCTATGATAAATGCCCAGAACCAATTGGAAGAAGCGTTGACAGCCTGGGCAACTGCTCTAACAGACTGAGGGAAAAATTCAGCACAAATAACCCAAGGCGTACCGTTCCATGTTGCACCATAAAATACAGTCCAAATGTAGATCATCGCTTTGGCTGCTGTTCCTCCCGAAGAAGACGAGATGTTTCCTTCTTTTAGTTGCGATGTTGGGTCAGCAATCTTCACATAGGCTCCAATATACCACATGCATAAAGTACACGGTATCGCAATGAAGCAAAGGCATACACGACGACCAAATCTGTCCACAAGGAAGAAGACCCAGATGATAGAGGCGACACCTTTCAATATACCAAAGATACCAGTTGAGAGCAAACCAGCATTAGACCCGCGTACACCAAGTGACTTGAAAATGGTTGGAGAGTAGTATGTTATGGCATTAATTCCAAAACCATTTTGCATCATGAATAAAGATGTGGAGAGTACGAGTCTGTAAAGTAGTTTTTTAGTACAGAAAAGGGCCTTCATGGGTGCAAAAAAACCCCTTCCTGTCTCAGCATAATTCTCCTCAATGGACGTACTGATCACTTCCATCTCATGGAGTGAGTAAAGGTGATCCTCAGGCAAATTTCTCAAGTAAGACAAATTTTTTCTCGCTTTATCAACCTTACCTCTTGCCAAAAGGAAACGTGGAGACTCTGGAAGCAAGAAACAGAGAATCCAAAAAATTCCCGATGGAACGAGCTGGATTGCAAAAGGAATGAGCCATTGTTTTCTGCTCACAGGCACGTGTTTCAAGACTCCATAGTTGATCCAGTATCCCACAATACCTCCCACTTGCCAAGAAACCTCCCAGCATCCAACTAGTTTCCCTCTGATGGCTGATGGGGAGATTTCTGACACATAAATCGGAGCTAAACCCGAGCAACCACCAATGCCAAAACCAGTCAATACTCTGCCAGCATAAATCCCTCCTAAGCCATTATCTTTATTGGAAATCAAAGAGATGGCAGCACCAAAAGTCAAGAAGAATCCAGAAAGAATGAGGCCTACCTTCCTTCCCAAATATTCGCCCACTGGGTAGAAAAACAAGCATCCAAAATAAGCGCCAGCTTGAAAAACAGAAACAACATTTGCCTCGATGTCTGCCTTTTTCCCAGCAGACATTTTATCTAAGCCAAACTCCTGCTGAAAAGAAGTCAAAGACACTGTACCTCCAATAAACCCTGCGTCGTAACCAATTATGATGGCAGCAGAAGCTGCCGTTATGGCTAAGAGGACAATCTTGTAGTTGTACACCTCGTCTGGAATCGGTATTCTTTGAAGGTCTTCTTCCTCTTTCACCGATCGGAGAGACATTGTATCCCCAACATGGGACAATTTGGTTCTTAAATCAAGCATGGACGGAAAAAAAAAAATGTTCAATCGGCGAACAGAATTTAAATAGGCCCACGATAAGGCATTGGTGTGCATTTAATCACTTCGCTGCACAAAGAGTCATTCATGCGCGGGGTAAGTAATCAGCTGCAGGCGTTCATTTCGTTCTGCCGCGTAATCGTAGATCATCGTCGGCGATTGATACATTTCCTGATTCGCTTAACATTCAAAAGCTGATACGTCTGAAATTGGGACATTTGGATCAACAAATTGGAGTCCATCTTCTGCTCTCTCTGAGACGATTTTGCTACTGTTTACAAAGAGTTTCTGGTTGTGGGTCTCCGACGTCGGTGCGCGAAACTTAAGTCCAATGTATAAGTATGAGATCTCAAGAATGTTTTCGCTACAATAAAAAGGTGATGAAATTACTCATGTCTACCGATGATTGCATTCTCTATTAAATGTGATTTTTCGATGATCCACTAAGTAAATGCCTGGTGGGTGAAGGGCCTTCCGTTACGATTCTTCGGAGGAACGGCAATTGTGTGGGAGAGTCCTGCATTTCCTACATTTCGCTGAATCAAAATATTTCCCGCCATGCTAGTGTCTTCATTTCCCCGAACATGTTTGAATCCCTCCTAATTTCATAATTTCATTGTCTTAGCAGCCCTCAGAATTTATGAGAGCTTTGTATCGAAAGAGTGCATAGACCGTCTCATTATCTTCTTCAAAACTGAAAGTCATTGCCCTCAACTACAATATCTCCACATAGAATTTCTTTCTTGCCTCATTAATTCTAGCAAATTGAAGGTCAATGAGAGTTCTAATGCCTCTGAAGAATGGCATGCAATGCACCTAAGATAACCTTAGACGAACAATCTCCACTACTCTGGTATCCATGTTTAACATCACACCTGTACACCATGTATACTTCTCATTCGCATTGTAGTAGTGTAGTAGGTATGGATACTTTGGTAGAATACACTTCGTCAGAGGAAGAAGAGCAGAATCCAAGTGTTCATGAAGTAATACTGCCTATAGCAGGAAGCGAACCAGAGAAAGAAACAACAATTCAACACCTGAATCCATCACCAGTGTCCCCCACATCTCATCTTCATAGTCTCGTACCTTTCCTGGCAAACTACAGCATGAATCGCAAAAACCTATTATCAGGATTTCTACTTCTCCCCTGGAAGCCACTGCCAGCTACCATGAGCCGCTTACAAGTGTGCAGCCAAAAAGCAGCCTCTGCTATCAAATCAAAGTTTCCAGAGCTCAACTCAAGATACGATTGGCATTTTGCCGGTGCCAACAGACCTGTTGTATTCGGTAGGTTTGGTTACACAAATGTGGGTGCAATCAATTCACTTCATGTGAGCTTGCTCCCAAATTTCTATACGGAAAAACATCGTTTCTCACAAATAAGAGCCAATCTCAAGCGCGCAGTAAGCCTAATATCTCCTCCCGGTGAACTCCTACAAGAGCAAGAAGCGAGCGCAATAGATAAGATGCTACTGAAGCATCCGAAAAAAAAATTCATCTCCTTAAAGATCAAACCGAACTTGCGATGTTATATGTCTAGTAAATCTGGAACAGTGTTTGTGGCCCTTGATATCAACGATGAACCTTCACTTGGTGACCATATGCTGGCTGAATACCGCTTTCTCCGAACAATGACAGGATTGGCAGAAGAACAGCTTGAATTGCTTAATTGCGAGTACGACTGGAAAACAATGGTGACCAATCCTTCCAAAAAGTTGGATGATGGGCTTCCCGTGATCAGGTACCATGTAACATTACTAATTGGAGAAATTCAAATCTTTGATCGAAGACTCAAATCTGGCGAGTTTCGAAAGCTTAGAGATGTGGTTCAAAACTGTAACGTTTTGGAGGACCTAAAGGACATAACGGTCGATGTGGATACTCTCCAATTACGCAACATTGCAGGCATGACTGCGAACATTGACCTTATCAAATAAAATTTAGCAGACACCCACCCCAATGTAGCACTAATAGCATTCAAACTTAGAGATATATCATCCTTATGGCACCTGTAACTCTCATGTCTTGACTTAATATTTTCTTACATTTTTATCGTATTTTTTTCGCTAAATGTTTACTCTGCCTAGGTTATTACTTATCGCGTTTTGAGTGTTCCTTGGCAAAACGCGAGAATATCACTGAGCCATACGAATCCTTACTAAATCTTACAACAAGACGGTGATGAATTCGAATTAACGGCCATATGAAACGAATCAACATTGAACAGCAAAACTTCCATTCCCTAGCTATCAAGAAACTCTTTTTGGCTTTAACAGATTGGAAATGTCCTGCTGTCGTTCGCCGAGACCTGCTTGTCTGCACACCCACTTTTCCGGTATTTCCACCCTCTCCTCCACCATTTTATCATCACCGCCAGCATGTTCAGAAAACACAGCAAGCAGGTAGAAAAGCAGCTCATTGATATCGTCAACAGCAGGAATAACTGCAATAAGTGTGGTGAGTGTGGTGCAGACTATCCAACATGGGCCTCCTGGAACCTTGGTATTTTACTATGCGGCCGGTGCGCCAACATCCACAAGAAAGTTCTTTCCCGCGGTGGGCCAAGAGGAGGACCCATCTCCAAAGTCAAATCTTTGACGCTTGAGAACTGGACTGATGAGCAGGTGGATTCCTTGAGAAGGATTGGCAACAAGAAGGCTAAGCGCAGATGGAACCCAAAGCTGGTGCGCTTCCCACATACTGATGACGATGATGAAGGTCCAATCGAACGCTTTATTATTGACAAGTACGTGGAGGGACGATTCAGGGATGGTGCTATTGACAGTGATGACTATGAGGACAGAATGAGCCGCTTTTCCGATGACAGCGGAACGCTGACTCCGGTGGCGCGATCGTCACGTCTGGGTTCCAGCGTTGGCTTTACGGGTAATCGATCTCGGGCCAACTCGAGACAGGTACCGCGTTTGACCCACAGGAAACTTACGACTTTTGAGCAGACGCAATACCAGCTGCAAGTAGCCAAGATCATGGGGTTCGGCTACAAGAACAGAGATGCAGTATTGGAGAGTTTGACCTTGAGCAACGGTGACATTGATTTTGCATTGGATATATTGGCTAACGACGCGAAAATCAATCCTCTGCTGAGCGAACTTCCTCCTGAGTTGCCTAAACGCCCATCGACTGTATCGACTCAGTCCTCGGCACAAGGCACTACTTTACCCACATCGGCGGGCTCTTCGAATGATTGGTGGACAGGCTCAACTAGTGCTGTAGCTGAGCAACCGCAGATCTATCAGTACACAGATCCTGTCACTGGGCAAGTGTCGTATGTGGACTCAAATGGACAACAATACTTGGACACCAACAACCCGCAGCACCAGCAACTTTTGATGCAAAATACACAGATGCTTACACAACAAGCTACAAAGCAAAATGTCTTGTCTTTGTATAATCAACCCAACAACTTTACCACCAACGTGGCCACGCCCACCGGCCAGCAGCAAACACAGGTAATGCAGGGCACTCAACAGAACCCACAAGTTCAGAACCCACAACAGGTGCAACAGAACCCACAGATGCAAATGCAAATGCAAATGCCGACCATGCAGACTCAGGTCCCCCAAAACCAAATCATGCAACAGAATACAATGCAATTACAAAATCAGTTCCAACAGATGCCCCAACAGGTGTACATGCAACCTACTGTACAGCAACAAACAGGATTCTTTACGCCGCAACAACAGTTTCAGTATGGCCAACCCCAACAACAATGGAGATGATATATATGTGTACGAGAATAAATACAAAATTTTTGCCCTGAAATTGAAAATCTTCAAATAAAAAAAAAGAAAGAACTGCCTTCAGCCAGATTCGAACTGACGATCTCCTCATTACTAGTGAGGTGCCTTACCAACTTGGCCATAAAGGCGATTTCTGGTCGACATTATTCTGTAACATATATGAATCCGTAAATTTACTATCACCAACGGTGGTCCTTCTGTTTCAATCGTCAAAGCTGGTATTCTATCGCGAAATTATTGCCATACCACTTTACAAAGACCCAATACCTGCATTGGTTCAAATTGTAAGGAATACAAATCGCCAATCGAAATGAGAAACATACTTGGTTTCCTATGGCTGAATGGTGATTAACGGGATGATGAATCAACATAGTTACTTCTTGGAATTTCAAGTAGCTCTCCTTAAAGTAAAAACCTGGTGATGTGTAATAAGCGGCTTTCGTTGCAGGATATCTTTTACGAATTATTCTGGACGGCTAATTGGCCAAGTATTCGTGACCGTTATGAACACCCCTCCTTCATTTTGCGAAATTACTGGAATCCGGAGAACCTTTCAATTTATGGGGTGACTGCATCCCATGCAATTCCCGGTCATTCCGCTCTTCCACATTTCACTTCCATTGGTTCGCAACCAAGAATTGTACACGTATGCGGTTTTCTCATCATTAGAAATACCTTTGAAAAATGAATTACATTCGTTTTGAGCTCATGTGAGATGTTAGAAGGCATTATTTAGAAGAGAAGCTGCATCCGAATAGGGTAGAGAGTGTCTAGGACCAACTCGCATAATCTGGCCATGTCTCGCACGGCAGCCTGCATATTCTGGAAACTTCTAGCACCCACTGGAATATTGCTGCATCTGAGACATGGCATATATAAGTGTCTGCCCTGAAAGCCGCTGTTGACAAAGCAAAGACTTTTTTACTAAGGACTTTTTTTGTTACTTAACTGGATTTACCAGAAGAAAAATAAACAGAATGAACACCCCAATGGATGAAACGCAATTCACTGATAATGCTTTGCTGATAATCCAAAGAGCCACTGAATTGGCTAAAGAAGGTGCCCACTCTCAAATTGTGCCATTGCACTTTTTGGCTGCTATGGTACCTACGGATGACGAAAACTCCACTCAATATTTGAAGACATTAATCCAGAAGGGACGTTATGAATGGCCCGATTTCGAAAGAATAGTTAACAGACATTTGGTGAAATTGCCTTCCCAAACGCCTGCTCCTGATGATGTGAGACTCAGCTACGCTGCTGGACAGTTGCTTACGAACGCTAATAAGGTCAAGGCTCAACAAAAGGACAGTTACGTTGCCCAAGATCACATATTATTGGCCCTCTTGGATGACAACTCTATAAAGGACATCTTCAAGGAAGCGCAGGTAAATGTGCAAACAATCAAGACACTTGCAATTGAGTTGAGAGGAAACCAAAGAATTGATTCTAGAAAGGCTGACTCTTCCTCTTCTTATGAATATCTTGAAAAGTACTGTGAGGACTTGACGGAGAAAGCTAGAGAGGGAAAGATTGACCCTGTCATCGGAAGAGAAGAGGAAATTAGAAGGGTCATTAGAGTGCTTGCTAGAAGAACAAAGTCCAACTCCGTTTTGATTGGTGAGGCAGGTGTTGGTAAAACCTCTATCGTTGAAGGTGTTGCGCAGAGAATTGTGGATGGTGATGTGCCTGGTATTTTGGCGAATGCTAGGCTTTTTGCCTTGGATTTGGGTGCTTTGACTGCCGGTGCCAAATACAAAGGTGAGTTCGAAGAAAGAATTAAGGGTGTCTTAGGTGACATCGAGAAATCCAAAGAGATGATCATTCTTTTCATTGATGAGATCCATATGTTGATGGGTGATGGTAAGTCGGATGCTGCCAACTTGTTGAAACCTATGTTGGCTAGAGGTGCATTGCACTGCATTGGTGCAACCACATTTGCCGAATACCGTAAATTCATCTCCAAGGATGGTGCCTTCGAAAGAAGATTCCAAAAGATTGATGTACCAGCCACAACTATTCCAGAGACAGTTGCAATTTTGAGAGGTTTGCAACCAAGATACGAAATTCATCATGGTGTTCGTATTTTGGACTCTGCTTTAGTGACTGCTGCTCAATTGGCTTCCAGGTATTTGACATACAGAAGTTTACCTGATTCCGCTGTTGACTTGATTGATGAAACAGCAGCTACTGTTGCTGTTCAGAGAGACTCCAAGCCAGAAGAGTTGGATAATCTCGAGAGACAATTGCATTTGCTCGAAGTTGAAATAAATGCTTTGGAAAGAGATAAGGATGCTGACTCTGCTTCGATTGAACGTCTTGAGCAAGCCAAGCGGAAGCAGGCCGAATTAGAGGAGCGCTTGATTCCTTTGAGAGAGAGATTCCAGCAAGAAAGGAAAGGTCACGATGAATTGATTGCCCTTAAGAGAAAGTTGGACGAGTTAGAAGTCAAGGCTCATGATGCTGAAAGAAGACGTGATAACGCTTCTGCCGCCGATTTGAGATACTTCGCTATTCCCGATGTTAAGAAACAAATCGAAGAGTTAGAGGTAAAGGTAGCTGAAGAAGATGCCACTCAGTCTATGTTGAACAATGTTGTCGGCGCTGATGCTGTTGCTGAGACCGCTGCTAGATTAACGGGTATTCCAGTGACGAAATTAACTCAAGCTGAGAATGCTAAGTTGATTAACATGGAGAAGGTGTTGTCATCTGAAGTCGTTGGACAGGGCGAAGCTGTTAAGGCTGTCTCTAATGCTGTGAGATTAACTAGATCCGGTTTGGCCAACCCTAACCAACCAGCTTCCTTCTTGTTCCTTGGTTTGTCAGGTTCTGGTAAGACCGAGTTGGCGAAGAAAGTGGCTGGTTTCCTCTTTGCAGACGAACGTGCAATGATTAGAATCGACTGTTCCGAACTTGGCGACAAATGGTCAGCTTCGAAATTGTTAGGTGCTGCTCCAGGTTACGTCGGTTATGAAGAAGGTGGTATTCTTACAGAGGCTGTGTTGAGAAGACCATATTCTGTTATCTTGTTTGACGAGGTCGAGAAAGCTGCTCCTGAAGTATTGACTGTCTTGTTGCAAATCTTGGATGATGGTAGAGTTACTTCTTCGCAGGGTAAGGTGATCAACTGTTCGAACTGTATCATCATCATGACATCGAACTTGGGTGCAGAATACATTAACGCATCTAAGGGCTCTAAGATTGATTCAGAAACCAGAGAGTTGGTGATGGAAGCTGTTAGACACCACTTTAGGCCAGAGTTCCTCAACCGTATCTCGTCCATGGTTGTTTTCAACAGATTATCAAGAAAAGCTATTGCAAAGATTGTCCGCATCAGAATTGAAGAGATTCAGAAGAGATTTGCTGCTAATGGTAAGTCAATAACACTAGATGTGGACGATTCGGCTTTGGAATATTTGTGCACTAACGGTTACTCCTCTGATTTGGGTGCAAGACCATTGAATCGTCTCATTCAAAGAGAGATCTTGAATAAGTTGGCCATTTTACTTTTGAAAGGTCAAGTGAGAGACAAGGAGACGGCGCGTGTTGTCTGTACCGAGAAGGGATTAGAGGTTTTGCCTAATCATGAGGCTGAAGATGAAGATATGCCAGATGCGGCTGACTGGCAAGACAGCGAGGATGATGATGATATGGCAGCCGCTCTTGACTAAATTCAATTGTATATACCAATAAGATGCTATAAAGAGATAACGCACGTAGAGTTGAACAGTAAGTAGAAGAAAAACTACAAAAGTAATGCGGAGAGATGGAGGGCATCGAATACGCGAAGATCGCATAAATGGAGCATGTGGAGGAACATGACATGCCGTGGCAATTTTTCGATATGCGCACGACACACTCATCTCAAAAAATTGCTAGCGTGAAAACCAAAAAACTACATCTACATCTAGTGCAACATGGCTTCTAGAACTCAATTTGAAAATTCGAACGAGGTTGGTGTTTTCTCCAAGTTAACAAACTCGTACTGTCTTGTTGCTGTTGGTGGTTCTGAGAATTTTTACTCTGCCTTTGAAGCTGAACTTGGCGATGTCATTCCTATTGTGCGTACCACCATTGCTGGTACTCGTATAGTAGGTAGAATGACTGCGGGTAACAGAAGAGGTTTGTTGGTTCCTACGCAAACCACCGACCAGGAGCTAATGCATTTGAGAAATTCTTTGCCAGACTCTGTCAAGATCCAAAGAGTGGAGGAGAGATTGTCTGCTTTGGGTAATGTCATCTGCTGTAATGACTACGTTGCTTTGGTGCACCCAGATATCGAAAGAGAAACTGAAGAGTTGATTGCCGATGTTTTGGGCGTCGAAGTGTTCCGTCAAACCATCGCTGGTAACGTTTTGGTTGGCTCGTACTGTTCCTTGTCGAACCAAGGTGGTTTGGTTCACCCACAAACATCCATCCAAGATCAGGAGGAGTTGTCTTCGCTTTTGCAAGTTCCTTTGGTCGCAGGTACAGTCAACAGAGGTTCCTCTGTGGTTGGTGCCGGAATGGTAGTGAACGATTGGTGTGCTGTGACCGGTTTGGACACCACTGCGCCTGAATTGTCTGTTGTTGAATCTATCTTTAGATTGCAAGACGCACAACCTGACGCCATCACCGGAAACTTGAGAGACACGTTGATCGAGACATACTCTTAAGCTGGGCGATCGCGCATGGCACTGTTACTGGCATTGGGACCGAGTTATGTCCTTAGCATCTCTGTATATTAGATATTACACCACTTAATGGACGGACACACCAATTCTACTGTAGACTTATTGCTGTTTTCGGAAATGTTGGCACTCTGGTTTTATTCTTTTTCTTATGCTTAGCCTTCCTAGATTCCTTTTTAGGCGAGTCCTGTACGTCTCCCCAAAAGCCCCAGATAGCTTTTTCATGTGCACCTATATGCATACGCGCTTTCATTTCGGCGATCTTCATCTTATACGGTTTAGAATTGTAACTGCCTCCCCATTTTCTTCTCCAACCTCCCTCCTTTCATTAATTTAGAGGCGTTCACAATGGATTACCTCGGTATTAAACGAGGATCTATTCGGGCTGAGGGTTACAAGAAGTTGGCACTGCTTTCCCTCGAAAGCAATGTGCTTTCTGGTACTCTGGGAAAGAATGATTTAAACCAGATATACAACAGAGGAAAGACCACCTCACTGTCTCTGAAAGCCATGTCCCAGAACGAGTTGGACGCATTGTTAGCTATATGTGCTGCTACTTCTGGCGAGGTGGAGACATCTGGGGAAATTGAAAAGTTGGTGGATTCCTTCGCTAACTATTTACTTGCTTTGCCCCACCAGCAATTCTCAAGTTCAGTCCATGCTTTGCTGGACAAGGACATGCCATGGCTTGTTTTGGGAGAGAGTCTTACAGGTGCTTTGATAAATTTGGCATTCAAGAAGGACAGGCTGTACATGTCGAAGGTCATTGCTTCTTTTACTCGTTTCATCGAGGCCTTTTTCAGCAACAGTGAATATGGATTGTCAAATTATTTGGCATTACTTGGTGTTTTGTATGGAGCTACTTCACATGCGCAATTGTTTGCCGCTTCAGAGAAAGGCTTCAATTTGTTTCGTTTATTGGACACATGTATCGATAACGTCAAATTCTTGAAGCCTCTTCACGAGTATTCAAGCAACCTCTTTGACTCACCGGAAATCCGCTACTGTTGTGGAAAAGAAAGGATGTCTATATTCTCACCAATCTTGTTCATTGATGCATTGGGCGACTTGATGTGCCAAATTGCTAATTCTGTTTTAGGAAATTCAAGCAAGCCTTTGCTAGAGTTTTTAGTCTCCAAAGCATCAGAAGGTGCGCAAGAAATATCCGAAACTGAATCGCTCGCAACTGCTGATGAAGTACTCCCAAAGCAGAATGGGGTTTATGACAACAATTTAGTCGATCGCACAAATGCTCTTCTGGTTTCTGCTTCAAATATATCTGAAAGTACCTCCACTAGGAGTTTCAAGGAAAGTGTGGTACAGAGATTGGCCGAAAATGCTCTTAAAAAAATTGAAGTTTTGGACTACGGCGAAGTTTATATCATCTACTCGTCCATGAGCAGGTTGAAGCTCGGATACTCTGCCAAGAGTAAGTTCCTACTGGTATTTCTGTGCGGTGTATTCAATGATATAATTGACGAACAGATATCCAAAAACACATTTCAGAATTCTTTGGGAATCCATGATGCTTTGTTAGATCACCACCTTGGATCTAGTATTATCCAATTGGGCTCTTTGCTTGTTTTCAAAGATCAGTCTCTTGGTTCTTCTCTTACAAGAGCGTTTACGTCTCTTGTAGCGGATCCGAAATTAAGTGCGGTGCAATGTCAAGTGATTTCTAAATGTGTTGGACTAGCAAGCAGAGTTCTTTCGCAGGATACAGTCGTGACAACAATCTATGCCTTATCGAATTTGCTTTTTGTCGATGATGACTTACATTTGCAATCTCGTAGCAGAAAACACTCTAGCTTGAGAAATGAATTGTCGGCAAGCTTAAATGGGTCCAGGCATAACGATGCTATTAGTCACCGGCTGAGCAAAACCAATGCATTGGCAAAGAAGAAAAGTTTTGGAAACGATATAGCTACTTTGAATGAAGGAGAATATGAGGAAGTTACGGCAAATGCAATCACTGCAATCACTGAGGTGGTTGCTGCCTGTGGCGACGAAAGTGTCAGTACTTTGGCTGTTACGATCTTATCTCAAAAAGTGATCAAGTTCAACACTTCATTAACTCCTTTACTTTTGAAAGGCTTGATATCGTGCGCCCCTTATTTGCCGTCCCGGGAGTTTGTCATTTTGGTAAGACTACTTCACAAATTGTCTTTTGATGCTTTCCAGGAAAAGAATTACCATTCGTTAGATGTACTTAAAAGTGCCAGATGTGATTTAGCAAGAAAGCTTGACCAGTCCAACCCATTATACACTGTCTACTTATCTGAAATGTTGGCAAGTATAATAAGCAAAGGCGACGTCCAGGTTTTGGATCACCATCGGTCACATAACGAGATAAGCGCCATCGGTGATCAAATTTCCATTTATTTAAAACCGCTAGCTGAGCTTTTACCAAAAGTTTATAAGGATGAAGAGCCATTTAAAACCACAGACAGTGCGCTCATTGATCTTTTCCGAAACATTTGGTTCAATATGGTTGTTCATGGCTATTCTATCAACTCAGAGAATTCTAAAAGATATGCCACAGAACTTAAAATCATTGCATACAATACTCCCCCATTGGCATCAGACCTTTCCTGGGATAGGACTGAGACATCATTAGAGTTGAATACTGTCTTGAAAAGAGGATCGTCGAATCATAATGTCAAGGATCATAAACATATTGTCGGCGATATTTTCGAAACCCCTCGTACAATGTCGTATTCTAAGTTAATGTTTTTGGCAGCAGCCATATTTGTGGAATCCTTGAGAGTGAAAAGTGGAGATTGTCACACAATATTAAGATATTATTCAGACCCTTCGATGAAAACAAGTGGAATTGATAAGTACCTTGGACCTATTGCTTTCAAGATCAACAAAGATTTCATTGCTCTCATCAACTGCGGGGCCAATAAACAATTTTGTGCAGAAAATATTGCAAATCAGCTTACATCCATGTTAACTCTTTGCTGTTACGGGCTTGTGGATTTACAAGACGCTGCAATAAAGTGTTGCGACTTGCTTATCACGAAGGTGCCTTCTTCCTTGTGCCACCCTCTAAGCTTATTCGCACTATTTGACTTGTTGACGTTATTATACGATAGTGTGATGGATGCTGAAGTAAGTCAGTACGAACCAACCTTCATGTACAGGGCAAAGAAAACCGGGATCCTGTTGAAGTTACCTGATTCATACACTTGGCGTCTCGAAACCTTTACTAGATTTCATGGCAAAGCCCGTGAATGGGTGAAATTGCTTCTTTTAAAATGTTCATCTGATACAAAAAGCTTAATTCAATCTTACTCTTCAGAGATTGACAAGTACCCACCGTCAAGTCAAGACATTCAGTTCGGAACCTCATTTGCTTTAGAAATGGCTGGAAGCATCAATCCTACGGATCGTCATTTGTCACATTTGCCAAAGTTAACGAAGGACTCTCCAGTGAATTTACTCCCGACCATTGTTTCACAATTGGCATGGCGGTCAAATATGGTATCTGATGTAATGGACCGAATGTCCTTCCATACGAAGGAAGAATCAAGAAAAGCTTTTTCTGTTTTAAGAGGTCAAGTAATATCGTTGAAAACTACCTTGCTTGATCCTCAAAAACATGTGATGTTTGACCAAGTCACAGATTTGATGAGTGAAATTGCTGCATTTACTCTTATCCAGGATGACAATTTGGCAGAGTTAGTGCGCTATTTGGGTAGAGATACCTTTCCTTGTTTTTGAATCAAGCAGAATGCAAGCTGCTACTAACTTATGGGGTGCAGTTATGAAAAGAGCGACCAGATCTTTCTATTATGCTTTTATCCCAGATCACAAAATATTGGGAAGTCTCTATTCAATTGAAACAAGGTATTTTCTCTAAAGCACATGATTTAAAGGATTGCGAATTCAGCAAAATGGAGTACACTCCAAGCGATTTCAAGCATGTTTCGAGAATCGCTGATTCGGTAAGCAAGACTTTCGAACCTCATTCTCAAATCATCAAGTTGGTTTCTTCCAATTTTGAAGCTACGATGAACCAGAGTGATCATTTGCTCAAGACTTTCACTCGATTCGTTAGAGTAGGGTTGAAGAACATGATAAATGGTAGCTTACATCCATTCGCTCGGTTTATCCGTTTTGAATTGGTGAGTTTCGCGTTCGATATCTTAGGTTATCATTCTAAACTCGGTTCCAGAAGTTGTGAGGGTCTCACTGAGCTTATCTTTGACAGTTCATTGTCTTGGTTTCAGTCGAGATCTAGCTACCCATTTGGTAATAACCGCTTGAAATTTAAAGCCGACTTTGTCTTGTTGAAGGAAGTCGCGGGTCTCATCTCTCGTACCAACACTTTCAAAAAGGTCACCTTGGAACAGAAAAAGGAATTGTTATTGTATTTTTTGGATGATGAAATCTCTAAGATTGGTGTCTGGTTGAATCCTATTGGGCCAGAGGATTCGCGGGGCAAGCTAGTTTCTGGTCATGTAGGGACTGAGCACATTTCAAGAGCTTATGCAATCAATCCACAACTTGCCGTGAATTTAGCTAGTCGGTACAAGTTGAAACATTTGAATGAAGTCCTACAAAAGCTCATTGTTGCGAATCCTACACCAAGTATTCCATACTCTGATACCGTCCAATACTTTATTGGAATTAATGCAGTAGGCAATATGCCTAGCCATGAGCTCTTGTTTTGGGAGGTTGTTTCGCCGATTGATGCGATTTCCTTGTTCTTACCTCCATTTGGAAAGAATCCTTTCATATTGCAGTACACAATGAGATCGTTAGAGCATCATGACGTGAATTTGACATTTTTTTATGTGCCACAGATTGTTCAATCATTGAGGTTCGATGTCAAAGGTTACGTAAGAAGATTCATACTTGAAACTGCTCGTGTATCCCAGTTGTTTGCTCACCAAATCATATGGAATATGTTGGCAAATAGCTATAAAGATGAAGAATCTACAGAACCAGATTCTTTGAAGCCTACATTAGACAAGATTCAGGAAACTATGCTAAAAAGCCTCAGTCCTGGGGATTTGACATTTTACGAACGGGAATTTGGTTTTTTTAACGAGGTTACCTCTATTTCTGGTAAGTTGAAACCCTACATCAAGAAATCAAAGGCGGAAAAAAAGATGAAAATTGATGAAGAAATGGCGAAGATTGAACTTCAACCTGGTGTTTACTTGCCAAGTAATCCTGATGGCGTCCTTGTTGACATCAATCGAAAATCAGGAAAACCTTTGCAATCTCATGCAAAAGCACCGTTTATGGCAACTTTCAAAATCCGCAAGGAAGTGGATGACTTTGATGAGTATGGGAACATCGTCTCTGTACCAATCGAAAAATGGCAAAGTGCCATTTTCAAAGTGGGTGATGACTGTCGACAAGATGTCTTGGCATTGCAATTAATTTCCGTGTTTCGAACAATTTGGCTCAATGCCGGCCTAGATCTTTACGTGTTCCCTTATCGTGTGACAGCTACAGCCCCTGGATGTGGTGTTATCGATGTCTTGCCTAATTCCACTAGTAGGGATATGCTCGGTAGAGAGGCCGTAAATGGGTTGTATGAATACTACACCACGAAATTTGGACCTGAAAGCTCGATTGAATTTCAGCAAGCTAGAAACAACTTGATTAGATCCCTTGCAGCATACTCGATCATTTCCTTCTTGCTTCAGTTCAAAGACAGGCACAACGGAAATATTATGTATGACGATCAGGGCCATGTGTTACATATTGACTTTGGATTTTGTTTTGATATTGTGCCTGGAGGTGTGAAGTTTGAGGCAGTACCTTTCAAGTTAACCAAAGAAATGGTGATGGTCTTGGGAGGCTCTAACTCTACTCAGGCCTTCAAATGGTTCGAAGAACTATGTATCAAGGGATATCTTGCTTGCAGGCCATACATGGAATTGATTGTTCGTTGTGTGAAGCCAATGTTGGAGAGTGGATTGCCATGTTTTAAAGATTCGACAATTAAAAAATTGAGGAAACGCTTCGTACCAACCAAATCCGAGAAAGAAGCTGCGCTATACTTCAAAGGCTTGATTAATAAGTCCTACGAAAGTTTCTACACCACTGGGTACGACGAGTTCCAAAGGCTCACGAATGGCATTCCTTATTAGAAACTTTTCACTAATTGTTTTAATACTTTACTTCATTCTGTGTACTTCCACTGAAATATAACTATGAAAAAAGACCTTCGTAGCACGATCGGTAAACCCAAGGTTATGTTACCTTAAAAAAAACACATATCCTGTGTATCTAGCAACTTGTATACAGAATATTGCCTTCGCGATTATCGCTGGCTTGTATTGCTTACAGGACATTCGACGTTGATCTGGTAACTCCGCGTCTTTTTGCCGATGATTTGAAAGGGTGGGAATCTCAACAAGAACCTTTGTATTATGATATATTTGATATTTTTTGCTTCTTCTTGCTCTACTAGTTGTGTGTTTGTGCATTTTTCAAATACGTATTTTCTTGGTTTTTTGCGTGCCACAGCCTACTTTTCAGCGACGCATTCCCTCTACTTTTCAGCATTTCCTGTACCTTCCGAATACTGCCTAAATTATATTTAGACTCAGCTACAACAGGACTTTTTTCTTTGTTTCCCTTGTTGCCGCGGCTGGATCTGTTCTTTAGTATTCGCGATCTTCACCTTTATCTTTGCAGTCAGCGACTTGTGTTCCTCATTACTATTAGCTTAAGTTGGAGATCAACCCATCCTCCCCTGTCCCCGAATCAAGGACATATACTGACTCTTGAACATTTTAAGTTGGACTTTATACATTCAATCCTTGCAAACAAACAAAAGAGTTGAACAGCATGAACTTTCTCCTTTGGATATATACAGCGTTCCTTTTAGTTACTGCAGTTGAAGGAACAAAGCACCTTTCGGCTAACTCCTTATTGACATGTTCAGACAACTCCCAAGCTTCTGCGTCGTACTTTGATGTTGTCTTTTATCCGCAAAACAACTCGCTTGTATTTGATATTCAAGGTATCTTCAACATTAACGGTGTTTAAGGTCTCCCGCAGATGTTGAGCTCATTGCATACGGGCTTAAAGTTGTCAAGCAAACAGTGGACTTATGTAAACTTCTGGAGTATAAGCAGCTCTGTCCGTTGACGTCGGGACATTTGGATATTAGTTTCACATACAAAGTGTCTAAATCCATTACTAAGAAGATTCCTGGTGTTGCCTACACCATTCCGGATTTGGATGCCAGAGTTCGGATTGCCATGTATGAGACTGCTACGAAGAATCCCTTGGCATGTGTTGAAGCTGTTGTCAACAATGGTAAAACTGTTCAAACAAAATATGCTGCATGGCCAATCGCTGCTATTGCTGGTTTAGGTTTGATTACATCCGGTGTTGTTTCTGTCATCGGTCACTCTAACACTGCCGCACATATTGCATCCAACTCCATGTCCTTGTTTGTTTACTTTCAGTCGTTAGCTATCACTTCGATGTTGGCTGTGGCGAAAGTGCCTCCTATTGCTTCTGCATGGTCGCAGAATTTCCAATGGTCATTGGGTGTAATTAGAGCTGAATTCATACAGAAAATCGCAAACTGGTATTTGCAAGCCACAGGTGGTACACCTACAGATATTTTGGACAACAGCCATTTGTCCATTTCTGTACAGAAGATCAAGAGAGGCACCAATTTGTTAGCCGAGGCTGCAAACAGTCTAGCCAATGTTGGTCGGCCCAATTTCTTGCAGAAGAGAGCCTCTATTTCCGTGGACAGTGACAATTTTGGTCTTAGTGATCAACTCAACTCTACTTTGTACACTACTGATGAGAGAAGCGAGATTGGAAGCAAGGTATTGATTTTACGTGGTATTCAAAGAGTTGCTTATTTGGCTGGTATTGAGATCAGTGACTTGTACATGACCACAATCATTTTCTTACTTTTTTTCGTCTTTGTTGTGGTTGTTTGCATGACTTTCTTCAAAGCTGCAGTTGAAATTTGCATCCGCTCAAAAATTATGAATGAAGGTAAATTCAACGAGTATAGACAACAGTGGGCCAACATCATCAAGGGTGCTTTATACCGTCTATTATTGGTTGCATTGCCACAGGTTGCTGTGTTAAGTTTCTGGGAATTTACGCAACATGATTCTGCTGGTGTTGTTGTTGTTGCTGTCTTTTTACTTCTTGTTACTGTGGGTTTGTTGAGTTATGCCATTGTACGCGTGGTAAGCTTTGGACGCAGGTCAGTTAAACAACACAAAAACCCTGCGTTGCTTTTGTTTGGAGATCTCAAATTTTTAAACAAATTTGGTTTCGTCTACGTGCAATTCAGGGCTGATTGTTACTACTTTGTTGCTTGTTCATTTGCCTACACGATAATCAAGACATTATTCGTCGCCGTATTGCAAGGACATGGAAGAGTCCAAGCGGTATTAGTTTTTGTTGTCGAGTTATTCTATTGTGTGGCCGTCTGCTGGAAGAGACCTTTCATGGATAAGAGAACGAACGTGTTCAACATCACCATTGCTGTGATAAACACTATAAATGCGCTTTTCTTCATGTTCTTTTCTTATGTTTTCAACCAACCTCAGGTTGTTGCTTCCGTTATGGCTGTGGTTTATTTCTTTGTGAACGCAGTTTTTGCCTTGTTTTTGTTGATTTTCACAATTGTTACTTGCGTTTTGGCATTGGTTTACAAGAATCCAGATACGAGATACCAACCTATGAAGGATGACAGAGTATCATTTTTGCCGCGTATTGGACATATTAATGGTAAAGGAACTGAAGCTCAGGATAATATGGAGTTGGTCGCTTTGGGTGCTAGTGCTATGAAGGGACTAGAACATGCCCAACCAATGCAATACGGTGAGGATGAATCTTTTGACGATGAGGACTCTTCGAACAAGAAGAATGCTTACAGCCTGGTTTACAACGACAGCGGAAGTCTTTCTAAAAACTCCTTAGCGGAAACATTAGAACCACAGCATGTTGCATCAACAATAGTTGGAAACTCTACCAATGCATACCAGAACTTCCAAAGTTCCTATACTGGAAGACATGATGATTCACATCCTTACAAGGGGTATTACGACCAGAATTAGACGTTGAAAGACCATTTCCACAACTAGCACGAATTTGTATTTAAAATTATATCAGTCACATTGCTTGTAGGTTGTCCTGTTGACACAAATGAGTACCAAATACACTATGACGAAATATGTTAAACCAAGTCACTGGGTAACAGTTTTCTGAAGCTGGCATACCCTGCTCAGGGTCAGAAGAAATACTTACATCGCTCGTACGAGAGTCGGTCTCAATATCTGCTTCCTGGGCTAACATGGATTCAGAGTCATCTCTCTTCACCAAATAGTCCTTGTCAATTCTTTGAAAAGAGTATTGTAATGAATCATCAAATGCTTCTTCCATTTCCTTCTTCCAATCATACACTCTTTTCAAATCATGCCCAGAGAGAGCATTGAACTTTTCAGAGATCTTATGGTTTATGGACTCCCCAACAAAATCCTCCAACATCTCTACTAATCTTGATTTTCCCTTTTCGTGGTCAAGAATGGATCCCACTTCATTTATGGGCCCGTCTGATTCGTCCAACTCTCTTTTTGAAAGAACTGTAAAAGGAAGCAAAGCATGATTTATTTCGTCAAGCTTCAAACATTTTTCGTTTTCTTTCAGATCTTGATTGAAGCAAACTGCCAACATGCTATCCAAGTCTTGATGCAAATCAATATCTCCAGCCAACCTCAAGAGTTGGCGTAATTCCATATTAGATGCACCAGAAACACTGAATTCCCCCAAGTGGACTTTTGGTTTGTTCATATCCCGGTTAATGGATATACAGAGGCCAGCTTGGAAAGAGTAAGGAGGCTCCTTTTCCTTTGAGCTCATAATGACCACATTGCCTTCACAACCTTGTTCATTCATAATATTTTGTGCTATTGTGGTTTTGCCTGCCATTCCCGGAGGGTAAACTTGCAAATTTATGGGAATAGACAATGAACTTCTAGATTCGTCACCTTTTTGAAGGTAAATACTTCCTTCGGTTTCTGTGTACTTATTGATTCGACCTAATGTGTCTTCCAAAGTCTGGAACAAATCAGCTCTCTTCTCTAAACTTGAAAGATGAAATGAGCTTCCAACTTTGGGAATTGCGTGAGACACAACAATCCCAAATATCTGGGAAAATGCTAAAAATCCAAGTAACAACATTAGATTTTGAATAGTTCAGCGAAGAATTTTAAGTGGGTGCAAAAATGATAGGATTCGTAACAAATGTGGCCGCGCAATCACAAAATGTTACTTTAAGCTTCCCTATCGACAAAAACAAAATGTGTGCTAACTTACGTCCCTTATTGAGTTCAGTAGAGGTTTGCCTATTTTTTTGCAATTGGGCCAACCATGGGATATCCATGAGAGATGATATCACATTCAACCATGAAATATGCTCGTTGACAGTTCTTCATTCCTTTAAGTGAGCTATTAAAAAATGTTCGGTATAAAAGGGCCTTGCTAGCTCAATGGCTAGAGCGTGAGACTTTTAATCTCAAGGTTGCGGGTTCGACCCCCGCGTAGGGCTTATCTTTTTCTTTTTGAGATCTATTGGAAAGGAGGATGGAAACGCTTTTGATATTTTTCCTTTCGTAATGCAATTTCAAACCTTACCCGGTCGATGAAGCCTTTCTGTGTGATAGGACCCACATTGTTCAGTGCGAATGCAGAAAACGGCGTCGTGATAGAAGTACATATCTAACTTCGCACTATGTTACTATGAAAGTATTGTTGTTTACGCTCGACTGGGTGAAGAATCAACAGTTACTTTTAGGACGGCAAAAGAAATTAACAGTAGACAATACTCGGAAATCTAATAGTCATTCCTCCGGGATTATGTGCAGGTCTGTTTTGCCCCACATCTTCCACGGCAACGGAGTTCACGGCGCAGAGCAAGCAAATAAATTATGAAAGAGAACAGTGTCGTTCGGGAAAATTCTCATACGTTACGGAGTACTTGTAACTTATCACTCGGGCAAGTATCAATTTAATCTATAGAAAGTTTTCTCGATTATTGGTGAAGAAGTAATCGGGGTTCGCCTTTCTTATTCGCGCGCATTAATTGGTTGAAACCCGGAGCATGTCGGATTTGGAACGCAAAGCTCAGAAAAAAAATCCGAGCGTTTACTCTTAAACCACAGAACTCTGGACATTCTTTCCACCTCTGTGTTCTTTCCATTACATATAACAAAACAACCACTGCCAAAGCAATCATGTTGTCGAGAACAATTAGAAGCAGTATGCGCCGCATGCCTGTCATGAAGACTGGTGTTAAAGTGACCCCAGCCGTTATGGCTAGATCCTTGCACTTCAAGGCCCCTATGGTTGCAGCCCAACACAGAATGGTTTCTCCAATGATGACTTTCACAAGATTAGCCTCCACTACCGTCAAGGTTCCTGAGATGGCTGAATCCATCACTGAAGGTACTTTGGCCTCTTTCAACAAGGAAGTTGGTGATTATGTTGATGTTGACGAGCTTGTTGCAACTATTGAGACCGACAAAATCGATGTTGAGGTGAATGCGCCAGTTGCCGGTACTATCACTGAATTGTTGGTCGCTGTCGAGGATACTGTTGAAGTCGGTCAAGAAATCATAAAGATTGAAGAAGGTGCTGCTCCAGAAGGCCAAAAGGCTGCTCCAAAGGAAGAGGCAAAGGAGGAGAAGAAGGAGGAGCCTAAGAAGGAGGAAACAAAGAAGGAGGAGCCTAAGAAGGAAGAACCAAAGAAGGAAGAACCAAAGAAGGAGACTAAGAAAGAAACTAAAAAGGATAGCAAATCTGCCAGCCAAGAGTCTTCCCCTGCATCTTTCAACGCCTTTTCTAGACACGAAGAAAGAGTTAAGATGAACAGAATGAGATTGAGAATCGCTGAGCGTCTTAAGGAATCTCAAAACACTGCTGCTTCTTTGACCACTTTCAACGAAGTGGACATGTCCAACTTGATGGAAATGAGAAAATTGTACAAGGACGAAGTTTTGGAGAAGACTGGTATTAAGTTTGGTTTCATGGGTGCGTTCTCTAAGGCCTGTACTTTGGCTTCTAAGGAGATCCCAGCTGTCAATGCTTCCATCGAGAACAATGACACCATGGTCTTTAGAGACTACATGGACATTTCCATTGCTGTAGCTACACCAAAGGGTTTGGTCACTCCAGTGGTGAGAAACGCTGAGTCTCTCTCAGTGTTGGGCATTGAGCAAGAGATTGCTGCCTTGGGCAAGAAAGCCAGAGACGGCAAATTGTCTTTAGAAGACATGACCGGTGGTACTTTCACCATCTCTAACGGAGGTGTCTTCGGTTCTTTGTACGGTACCCCTATTATTAACATGCCGCAAACTGCAGTTTTGGGTTTGCATGGTGTTAAACAGAGACCCGTTACCGTCAATGGCCAAATTGTCTCTAGACCAATGATGTACCTTGCATTAACCTATGACCACAGAGTTTTGGATGGCCGTGAAGCTGTTACATTCTTGAAGACCGTCAAGGAGTTGATTGAGGACCCAAGAAAGATGTTGTTGTCTCCATAGATTTCAGTCTCGAACTCTTTGCTGCATCACCATCCCATATATCTTATTATTTGAATATTCCACAGTACCATCTGAACGCAATACGTGCATTTCTGTAGGTTTCAAGCGTCTTTCCAATTACTGCTGTCCCATGTGGTTGGATATTCCACATACTCGTACATTGAATCATAGTGTATGCTTTTTACATGAACCACTGCCCATTGTAAGTTACCTTGTATTCTTGGGCATCCGCGCATTAATTTTATGGGCATGTTCTTTGCATAGTACGATGCATTAGTGAAAACCAACATATGTGGCACATTGTTCTTATTTCCGGTACGTTCACAGGACAACGGATTCTTGAGTCTCTGGCAACACATTGTATTGATAATAGGAACCAAGGACGTCAAAATTCTCCCAATTTGGTATGATTGTAAACACATGGGTATCTATCTCGCACAGCACCAACCATATGCCGGAAAGGGTTTGTTCAAGGTGTTTATATTTCTCCCCAATGTGGTAATGTAAGTTAGGATGGTTAGCTTTCAAGTAAGATGAGCCGGCTAAGGCATCAAGCAACATGCACTGCCCTAAGGCGAGCATGTTTGTTTAATCTCTCGAGCTGTATTCTTTTTCGACATAACTGCCAGTCCTTTTTTTCTTGAGTCTAGTCATTGCTTTGGATTTAGCATCGAGTGGCCCTGTTCTTAGTCCTACGCCATTGCAACAGGTATTTGGTCAATTCCCGCTATCCACCTTGCTTTTCGGGCCCCAATTGCCAACCTCACGTTCCATTCGAAACCTATCTTGAAACAGCAATACGAAAACTTTCGCTTACAGTATGGATCCGTACTCAGGCTGGGATGATATTGTGCCTCCTCACATGAGACAAAAGACTCCTCCGGCCGACGATTTCTCCCATTACTTCACTGACTACAAAAATTTTGACAACATCTTCAACGACGCCCTCACCAATTTACAAGACTTAGATGTGCCTTCTGGTTATGGTCAAGTTCTTCCTCCGGCCCAGTCCGCTCTCTCTTCGCCGTACAAGCATGCGAAAAAGCCCAGTGGAACTGCCATCTTCGGTTTCCTTGATCATACCAGAGAGTTGTCGATCAATGGGTTGAGTCTGGAGCTCAATAATAAAGGCTCCCATGTTCAACCACAGTCAATATCTCCCACTCAACTAGCGAAACAATACGCCGTGTCCAATGAGCATTTGGATTTTGACTTCTCGCAGCCATTGGAAGAATGCAAACCAATTCTTCTCAATGAAGAGGAGGAAGAATACGAGAAACCAATGAACAAAAAAGCTGATGATCTTATTGTGACGAATAGCAATCCGAAGTCTTATAAGTTTCCACCAGATCCGCTCCCGGCTGAAGATCCGGCTGCTCGCGCAGAAATGGATGGTTATCTAACTACAAGTTTGACTCCTATACATCACCCAAAGCCCGACCAACAGTATCCAGATGACATTGAAGCACTTTTGGAAACGCCTTCCCAGCGTAAATATGTCCCAATCCCCGTCCAACAACCAAATTCCGATCATCATCAAAGAAAGGAAATTCCTTTTGCTCTGCAACCTGAGCCATTGGTTGCTTGTCAGCGCACTTCTCAAGTCCAGCAAAATATTGATAGTAGTCCTCAGAATCGCCAATCCCCCGTTACCGTGGGACGACCTCAAATGACCAAAAATCAACCACATATGCTAAAGCAAAACGACCTCAATATGAATATGAACGTCTTTCTTCCTCCTCCTTCAACAAAATCACTGTCGCATGACTCACCCGAACCAGGAAGCCCTCTGCCTCAATTTTACTCATCCCCAATGCAAAATCGTCTCGGTCAAGAGCTATCGTCCCCGTATAGCAAAAAGGCGTTTTATAATCCACAATTCTTCTCGGACGATGCTGACAATTATTATTTCGATGCTGGTAATCAGATACAGCTGTCGCCGTTTCGGGATTCCGGTGCAGACGTCAAATCATCACCCTTCAGATATGAAAAACGAGGTAATGAAAGTTTTGCTGATGAAACCACTACCGACGTCAATGAAACTATAGTCCAGCTTACGCCTCTACGAAACCAAGGGCCTATAACACCGAGCAAGAAGCACATCACGCTAGAGTGGAGTCCAATTATATCACCTAATGCTAAGGCCAGCTCGGATGTGCGCAAGGCAATCCTTGAGCTATCTCCCAAAAAAGTTGTCAAAAAGACTTCATTATTGCCTCCTGGAGAACTTGATAGATATTGGGAGGGACCTGATGAAGACAAAGTTTTCACTTGCACCTACAATAACTGTGGTAAAAAATTTACGAGGCGTTATAACGTCCGCTCGCATATACAAACTCATTTGAGTGACAGACCTTTCTCATGCAGTTACTGTCCGAAAAGCTTTGTTCGGCAGCATGATTTAAATCGTCATATTAAATCCCACTTGGCCACCAAGCATACTCGATGCAAATGTGGCAAAGAATATACTCGTGTGGAAGGCTACAAAAAACACTTGGCTAAGGGAACATGTTCACGAAATGACGAAAGCTACATTGCGAAACCTGGAGCGCATCGACAAAAAAATGACGTCATTTTGGATGGTTTGACGTCGAATAGGCTCAATGAAGATTTGGGCCTTTGACACAGGTAAAACAAATAATGGGAGCAAAGGGCCGAAAAAACCAGATCCCATCCCGTTATGCTTGGTGCGCACGGAAGCACATTCACTTCGCACATTCTCTGTACTACTTCTTTGCACGTTTCAATATCCTGTCGACCTTATTGCTTGCAACAGACCATTAGTCTCGTTCTCGGTTACAATACAGTATAAAATGCTAATGCTAATTAAGATGTAGATCCACTACCTATTCTTCTTCCATATCCCCATCCTCTTGCTTATGCACCTTCAAGTGCTGGTTAAGGTTGTCCGTTCGGCTGAACTTCTTCTGACAAATGGGACATTCGTACGGCTTCTCTGAAGTGTGCAATGACCGGAAGTGCCTCTTTAGATGTTCTTGTCTTTTGAAACGCCGGCTGCAATAGCCGCAAACGTATATCTTCGACTGATCCTCCATGTCTGCAGCTTTATCCTCTTTTCGTCCTCTGGTTCTATTGTTGGGGTTGATTTGTGGTAAGATTTCCGTATTCGGTGGGAGATCTAATGATTGAAGGTCAATCTCCACAACATCACTTTGGGTTTCATTTCGCACAGTGTTTCCCCTCCGCTTCAAGAGTCGTGATCCCAACATTCTCTTGGAAGCACTGGCAAAAGAAGATCCCTGTCCTTCCAGATTTGATTCATTAGACATCGACGAACATTGCGAGTATGGATGACTTTGTGTCAGGCGAGCATCATTGTCATTGCTAGAGCGTCCATTGGATAAAGATAACCTCTCTGAATCTGGTTCCTGCTTGATCTCCATTTTAACGGTTGGTTCAGTCGCTTTTGATTTTTTACTCTTAATTCCTACCAAATTGCGTCTCTTACCAACACCTTGAAACAAAGCTCCATAGTTTGGCTCCTGGTTTCCATCCGCATATCCAGTCGAATTGACCTTATTCAATGAATTTGCACTAGAGTCTCTATCATTGGATGGTGCAGAACTTTGCGTTTCAGCCTTTATAGCATCAACTTCCAGAAAAGTTAGTTTCATGGAAGTAGGGTCAGTAGATTCTAATTTGAATGAATCATTACTTTTCCGTGGTTTATCGCTTTCTGGGCCACCAAATTCCTGCTTTAGGAGAAACTCAGATTCCTGAAGGTCAGACTTCATAGTCTCAGAAAAATTGGATTCCGGTCTCTCTGCCTCTGTTTTTCCTTGTCTCAAACGAGTAAAAAGACCCCTACGAGGGCGCTTTGCTTTCTTCTGAGATCCTCCTTCTCCTAACGCTGCCAAATCCTCTTCTTCAACAGGGGTTTCTGTATATATTGAATCCTCGGGTATAGCAGGATTTTCAGGCACCTCATTACTCGATTTGAAAATGCTCCGTATTAGGTGGCGATGTTGTCCTGATGGTGATTGTACCCACTCTGGAGGATTTTGATGGACCGGCAGTTTTCGTTCCCGGTCTCCCATAAACGGAAAATAGCTGGCAAACGATCTTGAGGAATTTTGGACAGGTTTTGCACCAGAGTTTTGACTATCTATGGAAAGACGTTGCCGTGAGTAAAGGTCAATGGAGGGGCGGTGTATCAGAGAGGGCGGCTGGTCGAACAGTGATCTTAAAAACTGATTGGCTGAGAAGTACGACGGCTGCGTCAGATGAAGGGAACTAACAGAAGGAGTAAGTGAGTTTGTGGTAGTCAATGGCAGCAAGTCGGCACCGTGCACCAGAATCGAAGGGCGATGTCTTACATCATGCTTTTCGCCGGAGCTACAAACATTACTGCCATCTTCTTCAGGTGTCGGTATGCTGGCTGTTTTGAAGATGCTTTCGTTGTTCTCGGGTGTAAAAGCTTCGGAAAGATAGTTTGCCGTGGTATAAGATGGTCCTGCAATCTCTTGGGGGTATAAATCGGGGTTGTCTTCCATCTGAACATTTCCAAGCGGATCTGTAGGCGGAGCTGTTGGGGTCATCTGGAAGTTGTATGCATTGGGCTCAGAACCTCGTAGTTGTATATTTTGTGTCTCAGTAATGAGTACACCACTGTCGAAGGGCTGTTGCTGGTATGTCTTCTTGTAGCCCCCCAGTTGCGTCTCCTGGTTAAAGAAGCCAACGTTCTGTTGCCTCTCCTCATTCATGGTCAGTGTTATAGCATCAAAATACATATCCAGAGCTACCGTAAAGGGTGGAGAGTGATCAAGGTCCATACCATCCTCAGTCTTGAAAGCGCCTGGCATGCTCCATGTTGCTGGTTCCTGTTCCGAGACCGGAAATAACAGTCCAATGACCGGGTTACTCAAATTTGAATCGTTTTGGTAGTAAGCACTTTCGTCGTACATATCACTATTCTGCTCCTGTCGCCTCTGATCCTGTTGTGGCCATATCGTGGGTTCTTTGGATATCATGGTGTCTTGGTAGTTGTTGTAAGAGCCGTCATACGTCATCGGCTGCTCGGAATCTTGGTTTGGATCCCTATTTGACTGCGGGTTATAGCCGAACCCCTTGTAGTAATCGCTATCCATATCAAAGAGAGCGCTATCCTTCCAGGTGATTTTTCTGATCCTATGCACTTCGCATATTACCGACTGAGTGTATCATGTCAACTTGCCGACTTTTGGGCATGTGCAGGTGCAGCTCTTAGTTGCAGAACTTTGCCCTTGCCTGTTTGCATTGAAGGAGTATAATTCAGGCTCCTTGTTAATATTAGCTATTGGAGGATACCAGTTATTTATCAATTATCCTACAATATTGTGCACTCAGTGCTTTTTGCCGAAGCCAAAAATGTTGCATCACCTGCAACAGAAATCTAGGCGCTTATGTAAGCCCTACTAAGCCTAGGGTGATAAATGTTTCGTCACGCAAGCTTCTGTTGTGTGTGATGAAGCATCGATATCATAACATGTCATTTCACTAAAGAGTAGTGGGCAATTTGTGACATTTCTAATAGTCTTTTACGCATATAATCGTGGCTGAGTGCGAGGTACATGATTCATTTTACACTTGTGGCTGAGAATCTCAGGATTTTTACCAAACTAACTCCAAGTAGAAAAACACTAATTATACATATAATACAATAACGAGCAAGGGAAACTTACTTTGAAGGCGTTCTCTGTCTTAGACAGTCCTCTTTTTCAGCTTCCATGTCTGGATTTACAATTCGGAGAATTGATTTCCTTTTTGAGCTCACCAAGACTTGAACATCCATCTGCAGCTCCAACGAATCATCGGACTCGTCGTCAATGTTCTCTGCTGTAAGTCCCAACTGGGCTATATCAATAAATCCTGGATCTAGCCTGCTCTTTTTCTTCAATTGAGGCAGCTGTGGCGGCGTATTCGTAAAGGAAAGACTTTTCCGAAGCTGATGTGTCCGGCAAGGCAGAGGTAGTATGTCTGTAGGCACTTGTACCATTTCAGTAAGTTCATCTTCTTCTTTGTGCCCATTTAAAGTCTCGTTAGATGCAAGATAACTGTGTCTTTTCAATGTCCTTAATCTTTTAGCATCAAACTCCTGTCTTTTCCGAACCCAAGAGTCTATTGAGGCATCATCCAAAGTTGAATTCGTATCATTACTGTGATGATAAACATTCAAAGGTGAAGGCTCCAAAAGGTGGTAATGCTGATCCAGTGCAGTCCGGAAATGTCCCAATTGATAGTCCATAGGACCTTGATCTGCATCATCAGCATTTTTCGCTTTCTTCTTCTTCCAGAGAATGAGTCCGGCAGTCGCAATAAGACCAATAGCAGCTATTGGCACAAGTGTACCAGCGACTGCTTTGGTAACAATCGATGATCCTGAATCGCCGCCTTTGTTTGTCGGTTGACTCCTGAGTGTGTTCGCTTTCAAATCCTCGACACTTGCTAGTTTTGTAGAAATGTCATAAAGCTCGAGTGTATACCTATGAGATTGGTCTCGCTTTGAAAGTTCCAGTGATTTGTTAACCACAACTAGGGTGTTGAAAATAGCCGCCGCTCCCATAACATCATCTAGTTTGAAATCCAGTTCAACACTTTCCCAAACCCACTGGTTAGAGTTGAGACGTATACGCGCAATTTCTGGATCTGGTTGTCCGTTGGCTTCTCCACCAAAAACAAGAACGGAGGAGGGGGAATAAGTACTTTCAAACGTTGCGGTTGCATTGTCAGCCAACTTCTTAAAGACAGGCAATACTAAAGGGTTAATTCGGGAACCAATTGATTCGTTGCCACTGATTTCAACCAGCTGGAACAGCCAACCAGAGTTGAAGTTCCAAGTCGCTAATTGCTTCATGTTAAGCCATCCCAGTTGTGATTTTCCACCTACCACAAGCAGGTTTTGAGGGCTGGGAGCCCACAAGTTTGCGGCCCCGAAAAACGGCTGTGGTTTTGTGGCTGTAGTTATATTCGAGAAGCTCTTCTTTTGCATGTCGAATGCAAGTAATCTGTCAGTCGATATACCTGTCTCGTCACATTTTCCACCGTAAATGTATACAACAGAAGAATCGTCAGAGACTAGATAAGTAGCGGAGGAGTAAAATGAGTGGTCCTCGACTCCGTTAAAGGTTAATTCGTCCTTAGAGCTTTCCCACGAGTCGTTTTCTCTATCATATTGGAGTAAGCGAAGAACACCTGAACCGCAAATATCGCCATCATCGTCGACGTCATCTGACGCCATGAAAGCGTAGAGATTTTCTTGAAGAAGGAAAATAGACGCATTTGAAGGCGGCAGGCTCATGGTGTTCACGAGCTGGCCCGATTTGATGTTGACATCATCTATCGAGTAGGAGGAATAAAGATCCAAATCGTCAAAGCCGGTGATGGAAAAGTTAAGAGAGACCATATCGTTGTTTTTCAAACGCATATAGATCTGTCCGTTCAGAAACGAGTAGAAAGTGCCCCACTGTGCAAAGCACATATTGCAGAGGACAGCTAAGGCTATTGCTGTGCTCCACATCGGATAAACGAGATAATGGAATGGCGTTTATAACTCAAATACCCGTGCAGCTTGGCAAATATGGGTAGTAGAAAATTTTGCACTATGCCCTATGGGTTTGAAATGCACTGATTAGGTTTAGAAGAAAGAAGGGTTGAAAGTCAGACATACGGCGGATGTGGTGCTGGATCATGTTTACTTTTTAGCCCAAAGCGGGAAATACATTACTTGCATTCTCCCCTGACACGATGCAAGATCGATTGAGTGCACGCAAGTGAAAAACGAGGTTGCAGCCACCTTATTTCATAGGCTAACTAAAAGTGCTCAATATTATGTGTGAATAAATTCATGACTGATAACAAACTAGTGGGTCGAAGCGGATTGAAAGCAAGTTGAGATTTCTGACGCGAAATCCAGCTCGACGGACATTTAAAAGTGCGAGGCTCTTGTTTATCTCTCTTCGTTTAATATCAAGAGAAAGTAGAAAAGACCCATCATCAGTCGATGGGACCTAATTTCTGATCATAAGTGCCATTGGAGTGTAGGCTCTTGAGTTCTTTCAGTTTATTCTGCGCATTGAGCGAACAAAGTATGAATACCAATATATAACAACAGAAAAACAAGTGAAGAAGGAAAGGAGAGATACGGTCTTAAGTACACTTGACATCAAAAAATAGTCAGATTCGAGCTTGTGTAATTAACGATTTTTTATCGCAAGTCGCTTATGGCATGATATTTGAGAATGCATAAACAGCGCCAAAGGAAACTACACCGCGAAATGACTCAGTCGCAGTGAAAAAAGTTCAGTCTTGTCCAAACGTCTTTTCTCCACACAAAAGAATAGCATCATGTCCACTTTTGGCTCCGTGTTCCGCGTTACTACTTACGGTGAATCCCACTGCAAATCTGTGGGATGTATTGTTGATGGGTGCCCACCAGGTTTAGAATTGACCGAAGCCGATATTCAACCTCAATTGAGTCGAAGAAGACCAGGTCAGTCGGCTCTTTCCACACCAAGAAATGAAAAGGACCAAGTTCAAATCCAGTCCGGAACCGAGCATGGGAAAACTTTGGGCTCGCCCATCGGAATGATGGTGATGAACCAGGATCACAGACCAGGAGACTACTCGGAGACTGACTTATACCCCAGACCTTCGCATGCTGACTGGACATACATGCAAAAGTACGGTGTTAAATCTGCTTCCGGAGGTGGCAGATCTTCCGCCAGAGAGACGATCGGCCGTGTTGCTGCAGGTGCCATTGCAGAAAAGATCTTGAAGAAGGCCAACAACGTCGAAATTGTGGCCTTCGTATCGTCCATTGGCGAGGTTTCTATGGACAGAAATCCACAGGATGCCAAGTTCCAGCAATTGTTAAACACCATCACCAGAGAAGAGGTTGACAGTGTTGGACCGATCAGATGTCCAGATCCAGAAGTTCGCGAACAGATGGTCAAAGTTATTGAAAAGTACAGAGATGCCAAGGACTCCATTGGTGGTGTTGTTACCTGTGTTATCCGGAACTGCCCTGTTGGTTTGGGTGAACCATGTTTCGACAAATTGGAGGCTACTTTGGCCCATGCTATGATGTCATTGCCAGCTACCAAAGGTTTTGAATTTGGTTCGGGCTTTGCTGGCACGAGGATCCCAGGCTCCAAGCACAACGATCCATTTTACTTCTCTGAGGAAGATCAAAGATTGAGAACGAAAACGAATAACTCTGGCGGAGTACAAGGTGGTATCTCGAATGGTGAGAACATCTACTTCTCTGTGGCATTCAAGTCTGCTGCTACCATCTCTCAGGAGCAGGAAACCTCTACCTATGATGGAAAGGACGGTGTGTTGGCCGCAAGAGGCAGACATGACCCTTCGGTGACTCCACGTGCCGTTCCGATTGTCGAGTCTATGGCTGCGTTGGTTCTTGTAGACCAATTGTTGATCCAAAAGTCTAGAGAATACGGCAAGTCTATTGTTGCTTGAATTGATGGCATACATGTCACTTATTAGTTGTCACTAATGCATTTGTATCTCATAGCACGGGCACATCATTTGTATTATCAGTATCAGTATGTTCTCATTTATCAGAATTATTAATTATAGAAAGTTTTCTGAAAGCGCTTAACGTCGCTCGTTAGTCGATTCTTTAACTACATATTCCTTCTATGTGAATGTGCGCACCGAAAATTTCATCCAAACTTATCTATGGACCAGGTTCAGAAAATTTTAACGGCCATCTTGGCCGGCCTTGTGGTTCTATTGGTTGTCATGTACTTCCAAAGTGCCGGTTCTGCTACCCGTAAACTGAAGTCCAAACTTTACAAGCCTACTTTCCTCGTTTTAGGGCCCAATGGTGGAGGAAAGACAGCGCTCTTTTTCCAATTGCAAGATGGTGATGAAAAGTCCCAAGCAACCATTTCATCTCTTGAGCCGAATATTGGATCCATCTCGATCCCATTTTCGAACTCAAAAATCCAAAAGGAATACCAGCTTATTGACTACCCAGGCCACTTGAAATACTCGCAACTTTTACGCAAGTTGATTGTTGAAGATGTTACAGTTAGTAAACTAAAAGGTATTGTCTATATGATCGATTCGTCAGACCAGTTTTTGTCGCAAGAAGGAAGACTTGCTTCTATTGCTAAAGATCTCTACAATCTCTTGAGTATTACCGAAAAGATTCCAAATGGTGTCGACTACTTGTTTGCCATTAACAAGCAGGACTTGTTCGATTCACGTCCAGTATTCAAGGTGAAAAAGATGCTTGAAGAAGAGTTGGAGAAATTAATCAAGAGTGAATTAGGTGCCAAAGGTTCGGCAAGAGGCGGAAGTGGAATCGACAACGATGATGATGATGAGAATGCGCAAGAATTTCAAAAGGAGGAGTCAACTCGCGATTTCTGGAAATCTGTTGTTGGAGCCAACAGAAGCTTCCGATTTGAGCTTTTGGAGGGAAACATGGAATTCATAGGCGGTTCTGTCACTAAAGGAAAAATATCTAACTGGGAAAACTGGTTCGACGAGAAAGCCGTTAATTATGCGGGCATGTGAGCTATTGCAATTCCCCAGTGGGTGCTTGAGGAAAAAAAGACGGGTCGTGGATTTCTTTCTGGCGCTTTGCTCTCAACTGCCCTTGTATGTAGTTGTTGACTCTGATTCTATAGACATCTTTGTTTAACTGATACTTTTTGAATGAAAAGCTAGCAATTTTCTCATCCAAGTCAGCTAGATCGCTTTTGTGTTGCCTCACTGCAGCAATGAGCGACTCGTACTCTTTAGTGCCCTCTTTCTCTTCTTTGGATGCATTCTCGTCGTCCTTCTTTGGCAGCTTATCCTTATCTTTCTTATTCCAACCGATTGTATTCATGATGTTTGTCCAAGGATAGGGTTTGTGTGCTTCAGCTTCAGCCATAGCATCTTTGACTTGTTTTTCTAAGGCTTTGCGTTCCTCTAAAAGCTTTGTATACGCCTCGGGATGAAGGGCGGAGCAGAAGCTCACGTCTTTTAGATGAGAAGGACAGACGTAAAAGAAGTCGACCTGGTTTGATGCTAGGAGAACTGTACATGTTGGCTTGTAACAGACATTGCAAGCTTTACTATCCGACTCGCTGACTAGCCGTTTCTGATACTCATTGGGGAACGGAGGCTGGGGTGGCATTGAGATAAAGCAGAATTATTGTCGCACTGCGAAAATGCACTCCAGTACCTCAAGTACAAATGTGGGGAACCATAAGTTTATGCAACTTCACGAAGAAATGGGGCGAAAGAGAAGTAAGAACAAAATGTTGAGTATTTTCGCTCATGATCTTCCTTTTCCTAGTGTTGCGACTGCTGTGAATGGTTGTTTTCTATTGTTTTTATGCCAATAGTCGAGGCCCTAGCAGCTCAATACTGTATCGAAACAACGAAATAAGGAAAAGCTGGAAAACTTCCTCGGTCCCTAAAATGCTTTTATCTCCAGAAACTACGGCGCTAGAAAGGATTTGATAGCAAAAAGATAGCCAAGAAAAGGGAATAAAAACAAGAAGTGAGTATATGGTTAGTGACTCTGAAGGCATGAAATTTTGACACATTAAACGGGGTATTCCACCTCGCTTCGCTCGCCAACAGCAATGTCGCACCGGATGCCAGGGAAATGTCGCGCCTGACGCGACTGGAAGTTCCGGGTTGATTAGTTCGCGTACATTTTGAGTTGGCGTGACAAAAGGCCGGTTTCCATATTTCAATATCCCCGAGCTCTCTCTAAGGACAAGAGAATGAATTTACAAGTCCTGTATCTTTCCCGAAGATTGTGAATTGCTCTTTCGATTTTTCGCGGCCGACATAGAGCCTTCTTGGCTTATTAATGCTTTTAGCGTAGGAGACAAACACATTCAGATGTATAAAGCCAGTTGGTTCCAGCTCTCAACCTTCGACATTGTATTTATCCGAAAATTTGAATTTGGTTCTGCGATGCATGGTCGCTATCGTTGAGCTTCGAATCATGTGGCGCATTTGGTCTGTTATGGCTATATTTATGTACATTCCTCATTAGGAAGGGCATTTTTCTCAGTAAATACCGTGCATCCCGAAGAGCTATGCGTACACCAGAGACAGCAGCAACTTCAGAACATCTGTAAATGGTAAATTGAGCGAGGTTTCTACAAGTTAGATCTTAAACAAAACTATACCTGTTAATATAAACTGACAATACATACCTATCATGTACCGAAAATGTATCACGTGCAAAAACCCGCGTCGGTGGGTCGCCTCCCAGAAAAAAATGTCGTGGCCATTCATCCCTTAATTGCCGCCCACCAAAAAAAAAGTGCGCTTCGGCAGTCACATCTTCCGTTTCACTTTTCTTCGTTGTTTTATCCTCGTTGTTTTTGTTGCTGGATACATTTTAGTCCACAATAAATTACTGCCTCTCTGGGCTCTATTTCAAGCATTTAAATCCTTCGATAAAGAGTGACCCAGTCACCTACAAGGGTCAACATTATACGAGTGAAACTAAACTTTTTTCCATTTTTTCTGCACTTGAAAGAAGTCTTCGGTTGCGATTTCCCTTACAACCTGTCAGTTTGCCTCCAAATCGATAGTAAAGTTCTCGTCTTGTTTTTTAACGACCTCTTTACTTCATTTTCCGCCATCCTTCCGCCACAAATTTGCCTAGAAAGTGCTAAATCCTTACCATGTCTGAACATCAGGAAGCAGACATCGACTCCATTGTCGATAGATTATTGGAAGTCAGAGGCTCCAGACCTGGAAAACAGGTGACTTTGTTGGAGCACGAAATCCGTTACTTATGCACTAAAGCAAGAGAAATTTTCATTCAACAGCCTATCTTATTAGAGTTGGAAGCTCCAATCAAAATCTGTGGTGACATTCACGGGCAATATTATGACCTATTGCGACTTTTCGAATACGGTGGATTCCCTCCAGAAGCTAATTACCTATTCTTAGGTGACTATGTTGACAGAGGTAAACAATCCTTGGAAACCATATGTTTGCTTTTGGCATACAAGATCAAATATCCAGAAAACTTCTTTATCTTAAGAGGTAATCACGAGTGTGCGTCTATTAACCGTATTTACGGTTTTTACGACGAATGCAAAAGAAGATACAACATCAAATTATGGAAAACTTTCACAGACTGTTTTAACTGTTTACCGATTGCCGCCATCATCGATGAAAAGATTTTCACCATGCACGGTGGCTTATCGCCCGACTTGAACTCTATGGAACAAATCAGAAGAGTTATGAGACCCACTGACATCCCTGACGTTGGATTATTATGCGATTTGTTATGGTCCGATCCTGATAAGGATATAGCCGGTTGGTCCGAAAATGACCGTGGTGTCTCTTTCACATTCGGACCAGACGTTGTATCTCGATTTTTACAAAAGCATGATATGGATTTGATTTGCAGAGCTCACCAAGTTGTTGAAGATGGTTACGAATTTTTCTCTAAAAGACAATTGGTGACTTTGTTTTCCGCTCCAAACTACTGTGGTGAATTTGATAATGCAGGTGCCATGATGAGTGTCGATGAGAGCTTGTTGTGTTCTTTCCAAATTTTGAAACCGGCTGATAAAAAACCCAGATATCCTCCACCAAATAGTGTGGGAAATAACAGACCAGTCACGACCCCACCAAGAAAAGCCAAACGTGGGACGAAATAAGTGATAGGCATATCCAAGCATAGTTAAATGGCGTCACATTCGTTTATCTATTTAGCTTCTTGGACGTTCCTTCAGATTATTTCTGACTACCTCTTTTCTAATTCTGAAGTTTGATATGTGTATTTTAGTGTTTTATTTGCCAGAAATCATTGACAAACCATGGCAAAGAGACAAAAAAGTCTTTCATTTACATGCATCTAACCCCATCTTATCGTCATTTTTATTTTGCGTCGCGATGTACGGGGGCTATCGAGCAAATATGAATTCAACAATTTTGCAACGGAGAATACTTCGATTGTCTAGACTATGCGGATGATAGAACATTGCGGATTTTAACGTCATTGGTTGTTCTTTTCTTAACAATGATTGGCGAGAAATTCAAAAGTGGTCAGGAAGTTGCTTTGACGATCACTTGGAGGTGAATGGGTAAGGTTCAATATTTGAGCCCGTGCCGATCCTATAGATTCTTCAAGCCTATCTTATACTGCAGTAGCTTACGTCAAATTCTATAGTTTACATATTTTCTTGATAGTTAGTACATGTGGCCGCAACTAGGATGTCTGACCTGATTTGGTTAGGGAGCCAAATGCTGAGACAATGTCTTTTTGTCGAGTTGCCCACTGGTTGTTTATTGCTGGTACAAAATCAAGCTTTTTTTCAGAATTATCTGTTTCGATTGTTTTAAATATTGTTTAGTAAAGAGCAAAACGTCTCACCTCGGACAAACGTAAGGTGCGTATGCACTATTTTAGTCAATAACAATTTCTTTTCCTCCCCATGAATAGACCATATAAATTGTCTATCATATGACTACTACGTTAGCTACTATAAACTATAACTCGAAAATTGATGGTGTTGAAGAACTGGTGGAGCAGTCACGTTATCACGTGATTGCAATTAACAACCAAGGGCATGTACATCATTACACCACATGGCAGAAGAGCCCAAATAGATATGCATGCAGTACATGATGTTCGCACCCTCCTCCCGCTGAAAAATTTAATAAATCTTTTCGTAGTCTAGAGCTTGTTGAAAACACAGACAAAATGGTATGTAACAAGCCCATCTGTTCGTGAAAAAGCAGTTTCCCAACTTTTACCATGCTTCCCATATTCTTCACTACATGAAACACATAGACTTTCCAAATTTTGAAGTTTGACTTTTCCTGTTCGTCTTGCCATTATTCCTTCGATGTTGCTCCTATTGCTTTTTCTCATGATTCTGTTGTATCACCATACTGACTAGTTTAGGTTTTAGTTCAAGACTTGTTGCACCCAAACCCAGCCTCTGAGGCTCAAAAGCACAAATTGAAGACTTTGGTCCAATCTCCAAGATCTTACTTCATGGACGTTAAGTGCCAAGGTTGTTTGAACATCACCACTGTTTTCTCTCACGCCCAAACTGCTGTCACCTGTGACAACTGCTCCACTGTTTTGTGTTCGCCAACCGGTGGTAAGGCCAAGTTGACTGAGGGCTGTTCTTTCAGAAGAAAGTAAGTGGTTTAACGACGAAGAAAACTCCAACCAAAAATATCTGTACACTTCTTATATAAATTAATCTTCACATTTATATAAAGTAATGCATTGCTAGAACAACGCCTTCGTAACAACATATGGTAAATATAAAAGTGTGTATTGGCGGGGAACTAAAAATGCGATCTACCTTCATATTACAATTTTGACTTGTGGAAGCGAATAACTTCGTCAATGGCGTTTGCAACCTTATCCACGTTTCCCTCATTCAATCCGGCCATGCTTGCTCTGCCTGAGCTTACCAAATAGACACCATGTGTTTTTTCCAAGCGTGCTACCATATCTGGAGACAACCCCGTGAAAGAGAACATTCCTGTTTGATTGGTGATATGCTCCCATGTACCTGGGGTCCCTAAGGATTCCAACTTCAGTCTTAACACGTTTCTCATTTTAATGATACGAGAAGACATTGTGACCAAGTCCTCCTCCCATTGTTTACGCAATTCAGGGTCTGTCAAGATAGTAGCCACGATTTTGGAACCATAAGCTGGTGGATTCGAGATCTCAGACCGGGTCAACTTGTTCAATTGCGATTTGATAGCTCTCTTCAAGCTCTCTGTTGTTTCCTTATCTTCCTCGGGCAAAACGACGTGGAGAGCACCCACACGTTCTCCGTACATTCCTACGTTCTTTGCAAACGATTGGCAAATAAGTATGGGTGATTTGAACATACCCAGGTTGATAGCCTTTCTGATAGCAGCCGCATCCTTGTCCAAGTTTCCAGAAGCAAAACCTTGGTAGGCCGAGTCAAACAAAGGTAAGTGGTCATTTGCGGCAATTGCATTCAAGATTCTGTCCCATTCTTCTGCGGTGGGGTCCAAGCCTGTAGGATTGTGAGCACATGCGTGCAACAAAAAAATGGATCCCCTTGGTGCTCTTTCGATTGTTTTAACATATCCCTCAATGTCCAACTTCTTGTTTTCGTCATCCCAGTATGGGTATGTTTCCACTTTCAACTCCAACGACGAGAAAATCTGCTTGTGGTTTGCCCATGTGGGTTTGGACAAGTATACAGTGTGGTTTCCCGCATAGAACCCCCGCAAGAAAGCTCCAGCCAAGTGCAATGCTCCAGTCCCCGACAAAGATTGTTGCGACACTACAGTCGAGTTTTGAATGGCTTTAGAGTCCTCGCCCAAAATCACCTTAGCAGATTCAGTTAAGAACGGTTCGTAACCCGAAATGGAAAGATATTCGTGGTTGTAACCCTCTGAGTCAATCAATTTCCGCTCAGCTTTTCTCACTGCGGGCAAAATCCATGGTTTGCCATTGTTGTCTCTATAAGCACCGATACCCAAATCCACTTTGTCTGTGCGTGAGTCACCGACATAGCGTGCTTTCAATCCGAAGAGAGGATCAGGGGGCAACTCTGTAATTTGTGAAAAGTATCTGGACATGATGAATAAGCTTATACGGACACGAAAGTATAATCTGCTTTATGAGTTCTTGTCTTGCGGAGAAAATATATAACCGAGCGCTGATCCTTTCAACCGGGGTCCCCTCGGCGATAAAATGCGGAGCAATCTGATCACGTTACAGGCAACATTTTGGCACATTCCAATAACGCCGGACCACTTTTTTCACACTCCAGGAGAGGCAGGTGGGGTTACAATAATAACGCACTTTTCCCGAGCTTTTTGTCTCCTTTACTACTTTCCGCGTGGTTTTATGGGAATTATGGTACTCGGAAGAATTCTGTTCCATGTGAGGGGTAAGGTGGGCGCGCGCTAACCGTTTGAATCTGCAGCGAAATGCGTCTCTGGATCATAAGACTATAACTATGTATACTGGAAGTGTGCGTTAATGTTTGTCAAATGAAAAATAACTGAAACTGGCATTTACAAGCTTTGAATAGCATCTGTGGCATAAACCAGCACAGAAACATAATATGCATGGAAAGTCAACAATATTGTAGACTTCGTTGCTTCTATAAGCGTTATCAAAGCACATGCTTGGAAAACAACGGAAGCAAGCATATAAAATGATCTCCCTCATTCTGTCGCCAACCAATCATAAGAATCCGTCCAAACAACAGTTGGTCCATTCAGTATTGGTATCTTTCGTGTCATACGACCTTACATCCATAGTAAACGACCATGGTATGCTCCTGGTGTCGCTAGTAAACTATTCAAGATTTCAGAATGATGATGAAACTAGACGACCATATTCAATAAGACATGAGTTCATATTGAGATGCAGTCACATGTATCAACACTAATGAAGCATGAAATAATACTTTAGTACTATTCCTATAAATCTATCTCTACAGCATTAGTGTACTTCATCGGGATCATTTTCTCTATGATATTGCAATCGAAGTCTTCAATCTTTGTCTATCATTGGAGAGTACTTAATAAGATAAACTTTTCTACAGCATGCAATCTTATCTTTATTGATGAAATTTGCTAAACCACCGAGCGCACTTCGAAAAAGCGCTTCAAGTAGTAAATCTGGAAGACAGAGTTCAATGCAACAACAATAATTTGGAAGACAGACCACCACTTAACACGCGAGTTGGTGGACTCGGCGGTGTTTCTATGGGTTCTCTCTCTGATGACCAAGTAGTTTTGTTCAGCCTTGACATCGCTGGCCAACTGGCTCAACTTGGAGATAGCGTAGTCCAAGGTATCGGACTTTGGGTCGTTGACATCAATGTAAATGACTCCATGAACGTTGAAGGACACATCCAAGTCCACTCTGCTTGATTTTTCGTTAGAAAAGCAGTATTGGTACTTACCTTCGGACATGGCCTTGATGGTTTCGTCTCCGTGATCCAGTCCGTACAACGATCTCTCAACCTTGTTATTTGGGCCTGTGATGTAGAAGTCGATGGTGTATTGTTCGGCGTTCTGAGGGTCTCTTGAGCCAACTTGGAAACTAATGGACAACTCATCGTTTCTCTTCAAATTTTCAAAGAAACATTGCTTACCATTAGGAGGCAACAAAACTGTGTGGGCGGAAGCAATCGCCACAAGCAAGAGCCAAATCGAAAGCAATTTCATATTGAGGAAGATCAAATTTGTTGAACAATGTGGTTGTGCGTGTTTTCTTCATACAACGCGGTGGACACACGACGCCCATATCGCTCGACACTGAAAACGCGACTCCCCAGCTTAAGGTAATAAAGGGTCCATTCAGGCTACGCTAAAAAACCGTACATTAGTAAAATATCTTCTGTTAACAAGCAAGACAGCGATATCTGTTATTTGCTAGAATTATACTTTCGTATATTTTTTGTACTTTGATGCCGAATGAAATGAAGCTAATAGTGTAAGTTGACTGTGGATACGCTCTACATTACAACCCTTTCCTACAAACAGTCTGTGGAAGGTGGTGATGCTTTTATTCGTGTCTATGAGGGTATCTAATGCGGCTTAAAGAGGCTTCATGATCTCGTCATAAAGCATTTTCTTCAAGTCGCTGATGGACAACTCGTCCTTGCGACGATCAAAGTCAAAGAAATCGTCGGGAATAGGCTCGCACACTGGCTCGTCATTAGGGTCGTGGTATATTTTCAAGTATGGATGTTGTAAGGCCATTTCAACAGTGATTCTCTTGGATGGGTTGAAGGCAAGAAGTTGTTCCAAAAGATTAATTGCCAACGGGTTCACATTGGGGATCAGGCCAAACAACTCGCTCAATGGCACTTTCTTACAGAAGGGAAGCAGTCTAATGTACTCGCGCGCTCGTTTCAGCTTTATGTTGTAGTAATCCTCCAGGTTGGGCGTACCCAATACCTCCATAATCAACCACAACTGATTATGGTAGTCTCTTCCAGGGAAAAGCGGGCGTCCGCTAAGCATTTCGGCTAAGATGCATCCCACACTCCACACATCAATTGCTGTTGTGTATTCCTGGAAGGTGAGCATGATTTCTGGTGCACGATACCATCTTGTGGCCACGTACTCAGTCATGAAACCAAAATTGTCTTCTGACGACGCCACAGAACGGGCCAATCCAAAGTCGCAAATCTTTAAGTCGCAGTTGGAGTTGAGAAGTAAATTTGAAGGTTTCAAGTCACGGTGGAGCACATTTGCCGAGTGGAGAGCCTTCAAGGCTCTGAGTGTCTGGTAAATGAAATATTGAATGTGGTCGTCGCTGAGTTTCTGAGTCCTGATCACCTTGTGCAAATCAGTTTCCATGAGCTCCTGAATTAGGTAGATCTCGGAGAAATCTTCGTATGAAGCTGGTCTCTGCAACGCCAAGATGCTAATGATATTTTCGTGGTTGAAGTTCTTCAAAAGCTTCAACTCTCGGAGCGTCCGCAAACAAAGCATCAGACGACCAAAGGGTTCGATTTTCTTGATCGCCACCTTCTGTTGTGTTGGTTTGTGTATTGCCAGACACACCATTCCATACGCGCCTTGGCCAACCACTTCGAGTATCTGGTAGTGATCCGAAACGTTAAACGTGACAGATTTGGAACCTTCAGGCTGTACTGGCGGTGAAGCCTTTTGCTGTGCCTGGTATGGGTAAGCTTGCACATGCAGCATGTCGGGTTGGTCTTTGTCCATCGAAGAAAAGGGCTAGAAAGGGAAATCGGCGCGCTGGGGCTATATAAGGAAAGATGAAGACAGAATGGGTTTCACGAGGGTATTGCGCATATGCGTGGCTGAGAGCTCGTCCTGCAGTTAAGTCAGGAGGAGCCAGGTACCGCACTTGTATTGTGTGCTAGCAAAAAAAAATTCAAACTCGCTTTTATGTTGTTGTGATTTCTTCCTCGTTAGTGTTTGTTATGATTCAAGTGTTTTCGTACCTATGTAGAGTATTCAATTTACTTCTGATCATCGCAGCAGCCGCCAAATGGCGTTTTTTCGGGCATGATATGTATGTGCTAGGAATGCGACAAACAACGCGAGAAATCGCGGATAAGATCTTTAGAGGTGAATGAAACGCACCTAACAATGCAATATGATGCGCTAGCGCGAGAAGGACACTGAGGGGACATGACAAGACCAGCACGAAGCAAGATGAAACAATAGTGACAGCAAAATTATGTGTCTGATCACCCCAACAAAGCCAAGCGAAACATGTTGAATTACACAATAACAAAAGGAGAATAATCTGCACGTGTCTGCCAGTCCGCGTGTCATGACGTTTACATCTTCGGGGTTCCTACAGTAACACCGTATCCTCGTACATTACATTGAAATCGTCAAAACAAACAACCATCCCATGTCACCCTTACTTCTTTTTGCGTCCAAACAAACCCTTCTTCTTTTTCTTGCCTTCAGGATTTAACGAGGACGCGCTGTAGTTGGCTGCTTGGTAGATGGGCTGCTCTGCTCCACTAAAGGACGCCACGGGCCGCGAATAACCGTTGGCTCCTCCGCTCTCGTCATTGCGGTTCATATTGTTATAGACAAAATCTTCATGGAAGTTCCACCCGAGTCTGTGGGACTCAAGTTGGTCATGGTATGAGTTGTCACCCGTTATAGCGTATTCAAAAGCTCTAATGGTGTCCAACGGTCTTTCGTTGCGCGATCTGGTGGGATTCAGCATATCTGGGTTCCCGATGGGCTGACCGAAAATATCCTTCAAGTCACCGGATTCTTGCGATAAATAAGAGGGTCTTCTAGCATTAAATTGGGCCTGGTTCGCCTCCTCGAAAGGCTGAGCCTCATTGACTGCTGATAAAATGGGATCATGGATATTAGATGCCTCGACTTTAGTGTTCTCCTCTCTGTGAGGCACGTACTCAGGCTCGGCTTTCTTCGCTGAAGATCTGAAAATAGCCATTTTTAATGGATCTAAGCGAAGAAAATAGCAATAGCTTTAGGGTCAAGGAGAAGAAAAGAAGGTTTTTTCCTATGTTGTGGGTGGTGTAAGAAAATGGTGGATTCGCGAGCTCATAAGCAGGCCCGCACAGCCCTTGCTGGGGTTTCCATGCAGGTCTGGGGTCCCCTTTCAATTACGGGCATTGGTGAAGTGCTCTAAACTCAACATTGACACAAACGTGGCGAGGCTAAATTTCTTAGGGCCACAGCCTCATCTTGGCTGGAGTTAATGAGGCTGCATTGCTATCACCATGAGCATCGTACGGTGCTCTATTTCCCGTATGCGCTCCTACTAGAATTGGACTCGTAAATTCGTACACACAGTAGAACAAAGCTTCTGGCCGATAATCTGAAGACAATACCAGAGCCTAGACAGTTTTTTCTTTTCTTTTTTTTCGGTGTCACCTTCAAGGTTTGGGTGCAACTCATTATTGTTCTTCTCAAATCTTGAAATAAGCAAAGCTTAGGCCCTATTCTGATTCCATTTGCGCATCTGTTGACACCTTGCATGATGCATATCGAAAATCAAGTCCCGCAGAAAAAAAAAGTTTACAGCAGAAAAACTGTTTTCGCCCCCTGCAATGCGGCACGATTTTTTCATTTAAATCCCGAGATCCGATGTCGGCACGCCCAGCCTACTTCAACAACCGTACATCATGGACAAGATCAAAGGAGTAAATAACGTTGCCGGAAAGTTAAAGCACAATTCAAACAAAGAATTAAAGTCAACAGGACGTTGAAATATGCATTATACTATACCAATTATTGATCTATATCTATAAACCATATCCGACACTCTTCTGTCTTTTAGTCGAAAATTAATTTTCAAGAAGTCCGATATAGTGTAACGGCTATCACGGTTCGCTTTCACCGAGCAGACCCGGGTTCGACTCCCGGTATCGGAGTCCTTTACTTTTTTTATTATTTTTCATTACAAAGGAAAGTATGTCTACGTCATATTATCTATACAATGTTGTTTTGCTCTTTGAAGGTGTCCCAAGCCTTGTTCAATACAATGAAGACGCCCTGGCAGATCATCTGATCTTCAAGGTCAAACTTCCCCAACTTATCGGGATGAATACTGCTAATCACTTTCATGTAATGGATTTTGACCTTCTTTGTCAACATCAAATCGTTGATTGTCAATTTCTTCTCTGTAATGAATGGGAAGCCGAGTCTAGCTGGCAAGATATCTGCCAACGACATGAGTAAACTTCTCAAGTTATCTTCTTTGCCACGGCTCCACTCGAAGATTTTTTCATGCACTTGGTCACTGAGCCTAAACTTCTCTTCCTCCTCCAATTTTTCTTGACTGTGCTGGTCCCGGATTCTCTTTAACGCCTCTGGCTCGGACTTCTTCACTGATGGAGTTGTTACAGTTGGTTTCAGTTTGGCGACTTTCTTGGGCGGGTTGATTATATTATTGATTCTCCGTTTCGCATCCATCACTTTTTTGTCATTTACATTATGCTTCGTGATTAACTCCAAATAGCATTCTAAAGCTTCGGGATAATTTTCCAACATTTCCAAGCTTTCTGCTTTGCGGCTTAAAAGACGAAGATACCAGTATTTGATTGGCTTTGAGTTTATGACCCAATCTTCATCGTTAACATTCTCACCAACAAGAGCAATTCCATCATCGCAATTCTGTTTGGCAGACTTGTAGTTCCCTACCTTAATTAATGTAATCGCAAGGTTGGAAAGAATGACAATACGTAGTTCATGTTTGACCGGTAAAGCCTCTAGACACCGCATATAGCGCTCGAAAGCTTCCGTGTAATTGCCGTTATTAAATGCGGTAGATGCGGACGCTTTGAATGTTTCATAGTCTGATTTCTGAAAGGCATTCAACACTTCATTAGTCGCGAGTCGAGCCTTGGTAGAAGCATTGAAATTTGGCGACCTTCTTCTAGATGGTGATTGATAAATGCTCTCGCCACCAGATTGCTTGAGGTCATCTGTTCTACTAAACGTTGTAGTCGATCCATTTAAACCAAGAAGATCGACAGAAGGTTCTGGTGGAGGCTTTACGTGCGGTTGTTCCTTGGAAACAGATTTTTGGCTATCATTAGCATGGAGCGAATCGCTTGCTTCTCGAGTGATCGACGGCACCGGCTTTTCAAATGGTGAGGAGCCTTTCGAAGAAGCATCTGACCGAGACACATTATTAGTAGCGGGACTAGGTGAAGGTGATGTTGATCCTCTTCCATTTCTCTCGAGCCTTTCGCGTTGTCTTTCCTTTTCTCTTTGTCTCTGGGCACGCATAATACGTTGTATGTCGTCTTTATTGATGTTTTCACGGTCATCGCCATAATCCTCATAGACACCTCCGCCTTTCTTTCGTTCCGAGGCATTTTCCTTATATTTGTCTTGCTCTATCATCCAGGCAGGTAATCCATCGGAACCACTTTTACCTTGATTCGCATGGAATTGGTTGATGTTTTTTATGACTGTTCTTTTTGACTTGTCTAGAAGTTTCGTTGCCCGCTTAAATAAATCAGTAGAGAAGTCCTGCAATGTAGCAGACAAGTCAGGTGGTGTTCTTGAGTCCCCTCTACCGGATGTTGGGTCTTGTCGATTTCCATTGCTCATTATGTGGTTGACACATGCTTGTAAGTCGGCACCAACTGCGTCAATTGCTTGGTTGGAAACAGATAGAGAAAACCCAATATCCACCAAACCTGCCAAAACTTCATCTCGAGAATCCTCTGCGGTATTTTCCTTTGGTCTCGGAGGTAAAGTTGGATGGGGCAGGGAAGTGTCCTCACGAGTATTGGTTGACACTGGCGCACTAGCAACTGACTGTGTTTCAAAAACATCAGTAAATTCGTCATCCAACAAGGATATTTCTGGTTGTTGGTGTCTGGCATGCGGGGCCACTTTCACGGTTGTTTGCTGCGGTTTCTGCGTTTGTGATACCGTGTTTAATGCTGGTTTTGACGGACTTGGTTTCTCAAATATAGAAAATGGATCTAAATCATGCATACCTGTTGGCTTAGGAGTAGCCGGTTTCGATCCCTGCGGCGACCGATAGCTCGTAGGACTTAAGATATCAGTACGAGACATGTTAAGGCCATTGGAAGTGGACAGCTGATCACGCATAGAAAGATTTTTCATCGGCAAGTCTAAAGACAGGTTGGAAGTACCAGCCGCAGAGTGAAATAAGTCGGCAAAAGCATCTTTTTTGGGTGGAGCCATGATCGGCGAAAAAGACACGAAAGAAGCTGTAAATTGATATGAACTAGATCAGTAAGATCGCGTGCAGGAAGCTACAAATGTGTCACTATTAGGTTCCGTACAGAAAGATTTGGAAAAATGGTACACACTAAGACTAGAAAAAAGTTTTTCCTTTCTAATATTTCACACCATCCAGAATGGCCTAAAGATATGTTGTGTGGCTCTTCCTTGAAAGATAATAGGTGTGGTGTGAGCAAAGACTCTTCGACATCCGTGCACCACCAGATAGAACATACAAAACTTCTCATCTCAAGAAAAATTCTTACCATCATAGAATAAAGAACTAAAATGCATTTGATGTACACTTTGGGCCCTGATGGCAAGAGAATTTACACCTTGGAAAAGATAACTGCTGATGGTGAAATCACCAAGTCTGCCCACCCAGCCAGATTTTCCCCAGATGACAAGTACTCTAGACAAAGAGTTACATTGAAGAAGAGATTTGGTTTGTTGCCAACCCAAAACTAAGTGGATGATGCCTGCTGAATCGGTATTCCCTTGTACTATATTTGCATCTTGATAAATAAACGCAGTCAAATTATATTTTGTAGACGTGAAAAGGTTTGCTGTCGCAGAATCTTTCAGTGAAGTTTCTCTAGTATGGAAACACGCGAATTGACAACTTGCGAGTGAACCAGAATATCTGGCCTTGTTTTTCCATCTGCCGCTTGCAAACTAAAGAGGCTCTCTCTTTTGGCCCGTCGCTTCTAGGTTATAATCAATACTCTGGGAATAGTTCGTCCACATTTGGGACAAAACTTCAATATTCTTGTTTTTGTTGTTTATTTCGTTCAAGCACAAATTCATGTCATGAACAGATTCATTTAAAGTTTTCTGATGGTTAGAATCGTGGTGCTAACTGGGAAAAAGTGATTAAGACGTACCATATTGTTTATTATACGCGACAACAAAGCTACCTGAACTTGTTCATGGGGGTTTTCCATAACCATTTTATTGGTCGACATTTTATGAGTGTAGTAGCTCTAGCGGGATGGTTTTTCAGGAAATAGAATAAGAGATGTTGATGATCTGAAGCGCAAGTGTGTTTATAGGTTCACTCTTATGACATAAACAATACTTGATCTTGTTGAGAATCTCTTACAGTGCTGCATATGCACATCACCATTCTCCAGATTAATTTCACAGATCAAAAATGTGAAGCTCTGGGGATACACATTGTACCCCTTCCATGTTTCAAGAAGTTTACTACTTATAGTCTACACGGGTATATAAGGTCATTTACTTTCTCTGGGATAGCCTTCTTATCAAGGATCATACGCCCGTGCCCAATATACTAATTCTATCTAAACATCACTTATCATAATCCCCGACCCATCTCTCCGTACTAAAGATGCTCACTCAAACTCCTCTCTAATTCTCTTTGAAGGACCCCAGTGGGTTTGGTCTCTGATTCGCCAGCAAGATAAAATGATGAACACAAGCAGATTCTATTGCGCACGTCACTACACAGATCTTCGCGTGAAAATGTGAGCCGGCAGAGCGACAGCTATAACTAAACATGTAGAACACGGAACAAGCGTTATCTTTTCTATTATAAGTGATTATAATTATAGTTAGCTTCACGCAATTCATCGGAGATGTGTGGGAGGATTCATTATGCATTTGAAAAAAGGTTTTTTATCACCCAGTGGATACCAACACTACACAAAAAGATAAGGCAGAAGCTAAGACAAGTTTTCCGACTTTATGTGGCCCTGAAAGTTTATCTTTTCTTTTTGTGCATTATCAGAATGAGTTTCGCTGACTTTTAGTATGCTTTTAGATTTTTTTTACGTTGGTGAACAATTCATAATTTTTGTGGTAGCGTGACAATTCGTGGAAAAAGAAATACTTGCCTAGAAACGAGTATACCCCACAAAAAAGAAAAGAGAGAACGCACCCAAATCAACATTGAAAAAGAACACTTGAGTATATACGTTTCCTTCTTTCCTATAAAAAGCTTCTTTGACACGTACTAAAGTAGAGTCGCCCGTCTTAAGCAAGCATTCTTGCAAAAGCCCAAAAAATGGACGGCTGTTGGGGACAGGAACATCGGCATCTCACAACCATTACCATTCTGGGCTACGTTAGCACAGTGCATCATATTTTGAAACCCACAGAGATGTAAGTACAAAAAAAAAAATTAGGAAATTAAATAAAAGTTGTTGCCCTCGATAATGGTATTGATAGAAACAAAAGATCTCAATTGCAATAATAGAAGACGAGACAACCAAAGAAACAGTACAGTGACAAACAGTGACAAACAGTGACAGACAGTGACAGACAGTGCATTACAGTTTTTGTTTACAGATCAATGTGCTTAGACGCATGACCAGTGCCTGCCAAAAAAACAGATAATACAAAAAAAAAAACAAAAAAAACTGAATCGTGTAAATATATGCACAGGAAATAGCCAGCACCTGTCAAGTATGTCCTACGTAAATATAAGATGGAGTGATGTTGGCCATGACCTCGTTTCAGTGACTCATTAGCGGGTAAGGGAGTGGTGCGGAAAGCCTCTAGGTTTGCATTTGGCAGTTGAGAACCACCACAATAAGACCGCAGTCCCTTGTTTTCTAGAAACAGGAAGCCACACATAATTGGGGCTCGCTGGTTTTAGAGCCATCCCAACAAAGATGGCACATTCCGTATCTACTGACAACTCCACATAAGCCAAAGTAAACACTGCACGTGAGATGCAACCCGATAAGGACAACGCATAAACTTCGGCGCTTGGTGAAAACCGATTCCGGTACTTGGGGTGTCCCCTCTTATACATCCTATAAGTATCGAATGGAAACATGCAACAGAGTCACACATTCCGCACCACTAGACACAATATGAGCGATTAAATCTTGTAGTTCAACCCTAGTACAATACCCCTTCAGATGCAAAATTTGATTCCGCTGGGCCCAATGGAAAAAGAAATGCATGCATGATAGGGACGGTCACGTGCAGAAAAAGAAGAGCCACATTCTACGACATTCTAACGTTGGGTGCGAGGTGCATGGTCCGCTACCGGACAAGCAAGAATCGCTATAACTTTTTCTTCTCTTCCTTTCCATCGGTGTTTTCGTATTGTTTTGTCCAAATCTTTTGCCACGTCGCACAACCCGTTCCTTTGCGGCAAATATTTGTCCCTTATACTGCTTCTCAATCCTTCAGTCTAGTTTCATCGACCGGCCCCAGTCCTAGCTCGAACTTCTCACTTCGAAGTCAAGCCGATAAACTGTACAAGGGAAACCAGCAAATTATCTCACACATCGAGTGTTGATTATTTGTCGTTCGTCTTCCTCTTTTATTCCATCTTTACTTTTGTCGCTGCCATGTTAACCTCTGATGTGTCAAGTCACAAGACTATGGATACTAGCCATTCCTCACCCGACTCAGATTATGCATTGTACGAAAAGAATCATCTTCTTTTGAAGCAGAGATACAAGTATGTACGCCAAATCCAAAGAGGATCTTTTGGAATGGTTACTTTAGCTATTGATGTCAAGACAAATACCCATGTGGCCATGAAGACTATGTTCAAGGCAAAAGAAGTTGCGCCTATGGCTTGGAACGAAATCAACATTTTGAGCAAGTTGGGCCACGACAACGAGCACATTTGTCAGTTGTTAGACCACTTTGAAACGAAGGACTACATCATTTTGGTGTTGGAATACTGTGCCAATGGCGATTTGTATGATATGATCCACTCGACTTCAAACGGTCCTCGCGCTGTGGATGTGTGGAATTTGGCAAAGGAAATTTACCATGGACTTCAGTATGCGCATAACTTGGGCATTTTCCATCGGGACTTGAAGCCTGAAAACATTTTATTCACAGACGTGGGCAGAGTCAAGATTTGCGATTGGGGTTTGGCTACATATTCCCGGTACAGCGCACACTTTAATGTTGGAACTGAAAAGTACATGGCACCTGAATGTTTCCTCAACAGTCCTGTTAGTGCCAGTCCTGTCGTTGATTCTTACGATTGCAAGTACGCTGACTACTGGTCATTAGGAATTACATTATTGACTGCGGTTTTCGGTACGGCGCCTTTCAAACCTGTCAGAGTGAATGATGCTTTGGGTTCTGCAGATGACTTCAAACGGAAAAACAAGTCTGTGAAGAAATCATTGGAGTCAGACTCTAATTTTAAGCACTTTGTCATGTATAATATGCCTGAAGTGTTGTATGACATTTATCCAACCATGAATGAAAATTGTTTCAAAATCTTCATGAATTTGCTCAAGGCAGGTGGCGTGGAAGATGACATCGAAAGTTACAATAAGAAGATTCGCCTGAGAAGCTTGGACAAGTTCATTGAAGACTTGGAAAATAACTGGAAGTTCGGTTTGACAGTATGGGAAGAGGAGGAGCTCTACGAGAATGAGTACAATGATGAGAAGAACAACCTGGCAATTGGGCCCAATCATCACGATTCCGTTTTTGACATGGATGATTTCTCAGGTTCGTCCCATGGACACGCGCAACCTGAAGAGGAACACATCGAAGTCAATACGGTTTCTGAACACAAAGAGGAGAGAGCGGCCGATACGGCTTCTAAACAGCCAGTTAACAGGCACCATAGCATTCCTGTACCATCTCTTGTTGAATCTTCGTATCAGCCTAAATCATGGTATGATTTGGAGGATGAATTGGACGATACGGAATTCAATAAGTTTTTTAGCACCTTGAGTTGCAAGAGCGTACCTACAGTGTCCCTCCAACAGCCTTCAGGCAAGGCAGCAGAAGCCCACAATGATATTCGAATTGTGGAAAAGGAGGTTTTTGTAGGTGGCTCTAGTTGGAGCGACTACTGATGAGATACGAAATTATAACGATAAATGATGACGGATAGGTAGGTAGATACGAAATCAATAAATATTACTGGAAGTTTTTGAACTTTATACGCATACCCCTCTCAAGATTACTCCACATAGGTCTCTTGCAGGTCTATATGAGCAATACAGAACCAAGTACAAAGCAGCATTGAGATGGACCCAACATCTGAGAAATGCCCAGCGCCAACATTGGCAAATAGCCAAGATAATCTTGTTGAGGCGCAAGTGTTCTTCAGAGCCGTGAGTCACCAACCCAATACCGGGCCGGAAGAATTGAGTCACAAGGTACAGCACGTGACGCAGTTTCGGAGCAGCGGGGAAGCTAATGTGTCAGAGAGACAGGTGCGGCCAATAATGCGCTGAAAATATGACGATATCGCCAGATACAGTTCCGCACTGCAAAGTACGCCGTGCCTAAAACCGGACGGCAAGCAGGAGCCCTATCATGGCCGCCCGAAAGCGGAAACAACCTGCATATACGCAGCGATAATGGGAGGCCGGCGACGGCCCTAGAGCGGCGGCGCGACGAAAAAAATTAAATTAGTGGACAACGAAATTTTCCAATTGCTCGGTATATAAATGGGGTACGAATCTCGCCCCTACTATTAACATTTTTCATCAACACAAAATGTCTTTCAGAAACTCCGCCATCCGTGTGGCCAGACAAGCTTCTTCCAACGCTGCTAAGCAAATTGCTGCCAAGAGAGCCCTCTCTGCCTTGGCTTCCAGAACTACCCCAAGATTGGCCAAGTCTGTTGCGCCATTGGCTACTCGTGGTATCAAGACCATCAACTTTGGTGGTACCGAAGAAATTGTCCACGAACGTTCCGACTGGCCTAAGGAAAAGTTGCTTGAATACTTCAAGGACGACACCTTGGCCTTGATTGGTTACGGTTCTCAAGGTTACGGCCAAGGTTTGAACTTGAGAGACAATGGTTTGAACGTTATCATTGGTGTTAGAAAGAACGGTGCCTCTTGGAAGGCTGCCATTGAAGATGGCTGGGTCCCAGGCGAGAACTTGTTCGACGTCAAGGAGGCTATCCAAAAGGGTACTTACGTCATGAACTTGTTGTCCGACGCTGCTCAATCCGAAACCTGGGCTGAACTTAAGCCATTGATCACCAAGGGCAAGACCTTGTACTTCTCGCACGGTTTCTCCCCAGTCTTCAAGGACTTGACCCACGTCGAGCCACCATCTGATGTTGATGTCATCTTGGCTGCTCCAAAGGGATCTGGTAGAACCGTGAGATCCTTGTTCTTGGAAGGTAGAGGTATCAACTCTTCTTACGCCGTCTGGAACGACGTTACCGGCAAGGCAGAAGAAAAGGCTATTGCTTTGGCTGTTGCCATTGGTTCTGGTTACGTTTACCAAACCACATTCGAGAGAGAAGTCAACTCTGACTTGTACGGTGAGAGAGGCTGCTTGATGGGTGGTATCCACGGTATGTTCTTGGCTCAATACGAGGTGTTGAGAGAGAACGGCCACACTCCATCTGAGGCTTTCAACGAAACAGTTGAAGAAGCTACTCAATCCTTGTACCCATTGATTGGAAAGTACGGTATGGACTACATGTACGACGCTTGTTCCACAACTGCCAGAAGAGGTGCTTTGGACTGGTACCCAAGATTCAAGGATGCCTTGAAGCCTGTTTTCGAGGAATTGTACGAGTCTGTTAAGAACGGTTCTGAGACCCAGAGATCCTTGGACTTCAACTCCCAACCAGACTACAGAGAGAGATTGGAGGAGGAGTTGGAGACCATCAGAAACATGGAGATCTGGAAGGTCGGCAAGGAAGTGAGAAAGTTGCGTCCAGAAAACCACTAAATGTTTTGCAATGACGTCTACAATGGTCTATGAATGACTGAGACTGGTTCAATTCTGTTATGACCCCACAGTTTTTTTTTATTTCCATAATGGGGCGGGTTAATAAAATATACATAGCATATAGGGCACTCTGTTTGTTGAATAAACAGTCCTGAGATTTTCAATTTATTGTAGTTCACTCATACGTGATGTTTTGTATACCTACTGTTATAGTGACAAAGATGGCTAGACACACTCACAAACAGTACCAAATGCGAACCCAAACTTCGTCACAGGTTGATCAATAAATAACTTTTCAATAGAGACGCAGATACTAAGTAATCATGCTCTTCGAGTAAAACATAGATGAAGTATATTCTAGTCAACCTATTCTTTGAGCTGGCTTAAATCGCGTACTTTACTAGCTTGCTATCGTCAAGCAGTTAAAGCGAGCCCTAAAGTTGTTCACGTGACTAGGGCTTACCCTCGGAAATACTTTAGTCATCACGTGGCAATGTTCATGCGGATCCCCTCGGAACTAACCATAAAAAAAAATCCTCGCTGGGCGCACTGAAAATTTCTCCGAGGTTTTGAAGTACCTACTTTTGTTCTGAACGGATTATAATACATCATGGCTGTTGGCAAGAACAAGAGATTATCCAAGGGAAAGAAGGGTTTGAAGAAGAAGGCCGTCGACCCATTCGCCAGAAAGGAATGGTTTGACATCAAGGCTCCTTCTACCTTTGAGAACAGAAACGTCGGTAAGACCTTGATCAACAAGTCTACCGGTTTGAAGAACGCTGCTGATGGCTTGAAGGGCCGTGTCTTCGAAGTTTGCTTGGCTGACTTGCAAGGTTCTGAGGACCACTCTTACAGAAAGGTCAAGTTGAGAGTTGACGAAGTTCAAGGTAAGAACTTGTTGACCAACTTCCACGGTTTGGACTTCACTTCTGACAAGTTGAGATCTTTGGTCAGAAAGTGGCAATCTTTGGTTGAAGCCAACGTGACTGTCAAGACCGCTGACGACTACGTTTTGAGAGTCTTCGCCATTGCTTTCACCAAGAGACAAGCCAACCAGGTCAAGAAGACCACCTACGCCCAATCTTCCAAATTGAGAGAAGTGAGAAAGAAGATGATCGAGATCATGCAAAGAGAAGTTTCCAACGTCACCTTGGCTCAATTGACATCTAAGTTGATTCCAGAAGTCATTGGCCGTGAGATCGAAAAGTCTACCCAATCCATCTTGCCATTGCAAAACATCCACATCAGAAAGGTTAAGTTGTTGAAGCAACCAAAGTTCGACTTGGGTTCTTTGTTGGCCTTGCACGGTGAGGGATCTACCGAAGAGAAGGGTAAGAAGGTTTCATCTGGCTACAAGGATGTTGTGTTGGAATCTGTGTGATTTTTATGACTTGGGTTGGTATGTAAATTAATGATCAGATTTAGAAACTGCGACTGTAACGTTGAATAGTTATTAATTAGGCAATGGAGTCTTCTATGGGACATTGTTGTTCACGAATATGGATGTTTCGGTTCCCCAGAGCATGGACTGCATAATGTCAGCCTTACTTGGCGGGCTTCGTATATGATACCCCAACAACTTCTGTCTCCATATCCTTTTCTGTCCTTTTTATAGAACTTCAAAAATGGACGATGATGATGATGCATGGTCATATTCTTTTCCTCCGTCTAAGGAGTCGCTGCCGTTACCCATAGAGGATCAACCCGATCTGCTAAAGCCAGCCATGGATAAAATGTGTTTGATTCCAGCAGACTCTCCGAATTCCAGCTCAAGTCTGATATCTCTCAGCAAACTAGATATTTCGACAGTGAGTGTCTTGAAGCAGGATATAGGGCCTACAGCAAGATCTAATCTGACAATTTTTTTAGGCAAGGGCCCTACACCGCTAGCACTGAAGGCAAACCCAGCCGATCCGCATACTACTATAGAAGATGCTGGCTCAGTAATGTCCAAGGAAAGTACAAATGCCTTAGCGGCAGATTCTGAGAGTGGTGATGCCGCTATCGCTTCTGTCCCGTCAACACCCGCGGTAAAGAGCGATTTCAGCAATTCTATACGAATCTGGCAGGAAAAACAGGAAGAGCAACTGAAGCTTCTTCAAAATGCTGTAGAGCAACCGCTGGAAGAAAGCCAGAAATCAGGTTCACAAAATGTGCGTGCTTCTCTTTCCAACTTAGCTGCCCTGCCTCTTATAAGAAGCGGAACAATGAATTCTGACGAACCTACAGGCGAGAGTCCTAGCTCGCCGAAAATCATTACATATCGCAAGAAAAGCCATCAAAGGACACAGAGCGACTCATACAGCTTCCAGTTGAACAAAGAGGAACGATATGATCCGAAGTTGTATGTTGATGAGAAATTCCGGAATACCAACTATCGTTACGCCACCATCAAGAGAAATGTGGAATTTCACCAAGTGTTTCGCAGCCTCGACTTAACAGACCGGCTCTTGGATGACTTTGCATGCGCCTTGAGCCGCGAAATTCTTCTACAAGGACGCATCTATGTAACAGAGCACAGCGTCTGTTTCAACTCTAACCTACTTGGGTGGGTGACAAGCCTAGTGGTTCCATTCGAGGACATTATAAGAATTGACAAGAAAAGCACAGCAGGTCTCTTTCCTAATGGTATTTCTATAGAAACCAAGACTACGAAGCACAATTTCGCCAGTTTCTTGTCGCGAGATGCCACATTTGAGTTCATTAGAACCGTGTGGCTGGCGTGCACAGGAAAGAGTACGTCAGACTTAGATATACAAGCACAGGATTCTTCTATCAGTGATAGTATTGAAAGTCAGAAACGAGATCGGGAGCGCAAGATTTCCAGTTACATCCTTTCGATCGATGGGGATGATGTCAATAATGACGAAGAAAATGACTTGATAGATGTTGACGGTGATTCAGATGACTCCGAAAACCACGAAAATTCAGACGTCGAGGATAGAGTTTCGGTCACCGGAACTTCAACCAAAAAGGATTCCCTCAGGAACGAAAAAGATTCTCCTGGCAGTTCGACACTTAAAGCGTTGAAACCAGATTCCAGATACCAAAATTTGGGGCCAGATGCTCATGCACCCACCGAAGTAGGGAAAGCGTATCCTGACAGCGAAGCTGAGATTGAGGTATGCAATGAGATTATTGAAGCACCATTAGGAATAGTTTTTGACATCTTATTTGGCAGTGCAGACACCAGTTTCCAGCGGAGGTTTTTGGAGACGCACGATGCGTCTGAAATAGATGAGTACAGCAGTTTCCATCCTGCGGAGGATAATCCCTCTCTTTTGGAGAGATCATTCACATACAGACGTGAATTGGGATACTCAATTGGTCCGAAGTGGACAAAGTGTATTGTTCGTGAAGTTGTGGAACACTTGAACTTCGAAGATTATGCCGTGGTATTGAATACTACTGCAACTCCAGATGTCCCCTCTGGGGGATCCTTCACTGTCAACACAAGATACTACTTTACATGGGGTCCAAACAACACCACCAATCTTCGAATTGCGTATTTTGTAAAATGGACTGGCCGCTCATGGATTAAGAACGTCGTTGAAAAGCTGACGCTGTCTGCTCAGTCAAGTGTCACGAAGGACATGATTGAAGAATTACGAAAGGAAATTGACACACATACTCATTCGATTGCTGGACTGGCAATGACAGTGCAACAAGACATACTTCCTCCACAAAAGAAACCTGCACTGTCTATTAAAACTAAGAAAAAGAAGGTGCATTCTGTCAACAATGCCGCTCAAGTTCCAGCGCAAAGTGTCGCGATGCTCTTTGGTCTATACTCGATCGTGATGCTTCTAACGTTGCTTGTATGGACACAATGGAGATTGGCTCGCTCAGTTGCAGAAACAAAGGCACTCGTTAGCAAAGAGATGGCATTGTCTAGTAGCTTGTTGGGATTATTGGCGCCATTGCGCCTGTCTGAAAGAACAGACCGACCTCTGGAAAGTAAGGCACGTCACAGAAAGGAGCGGGCCTCCAACTTAGCCCGACAAGCTTTGCTTTTGCTTCAGGAAGACACCGAAGATATACTGCTAATGGGCGTCATTGAGAGTCTCCTTTGATTCTTCTAATTAGTCCAGGCTATAGAATTTATGATATGTAAGAAAAATAAAAGGAATATTTACAGGAATCGATGTGGTCAACACAACGACACTAAAATACAAACATGCTAGCACACTCTAAGTTTCCCTTGTGCTTCTTGTTCACGTTCGACTATGTTGACATCCTCCACAGTGTGGACAACTATCTCTGTATTATCTTCGTTGAGCTCAAATACGAAGACACCCAGGATGATACGTTCAAGTCTAATATCTTCTTTCTTTAAGCCAATAATGCCTTTTGTCAAATCAGATAGTGACGCCGAAAGCGACTTTGCCTGAACATGAGATACCGAGAATTTTTCTGGATCTATTCTAGCCCACAGGTGTGCTCCCAAAGTTGCCTTGGAAGTTGAACCGGGCATTGAATCCAGACTGGACGAATCTTCGTTCAGGGTATCAGAAGGAACCAGGTCAGGTTCGTTTGGCTCAAGAAGATGAATGCAGCCTTCAGAGCATGTGTTCCAGCGCATGTATACTTTTGTGGAGTGAGCAAAGACGCAATTAGGTTCTGGGAAGTGAGAGGTCCTTACCAGCTGAATGTGGAGTTTCACTCGCGGATTGAGCACCAACGAGGTGAAGAATAACTGTAAGGCTTTACACGTAGCGTAATAAGAAACTCGTCCCTTTATGGTTGGTAAGTACGAATTGAGTATGTCCCGATGTGATGGACATATGCGGAGAAGCACTTCTGACAGCACCATTTCCTTCGGAAAAGATTCTGTTAGAAGTTGTGGCACCAATTCACGAAGGTCGTCAATCATGGCCCCCAAGTTGCTCAATTTCTCTTGCTCTTTCTTGTCAGGTGGCAGAGGATCTTTTTCCGATTCACTGTATTGCAAAAGAGAAGGGGGTTTTGGAAGAACGGTCGAAACGGGTTCATTACCACCTTCTGAGTAAGAACGTCGGAAACTAAACAGAAACAGATCCAGGTATCGTTTGAGGAACGGAGAAAAAACAGGCGACAGGGCCAAGGCCGTTGGAGAACCCAAGGACACTTTCAGAAGCCATCGGGGCCGGCGGACACACGAAAGCATAGATACTGGAGAAAGAAGATGGTTTCCTGTACAGGATGATAGTGGGAAGATCGCACCAAGAGTAGGTAATTTCTGATGAGGAGAAGAACGAGTAACAAATTATAAAATTCAGTAGAGCAGATGGAGGATTGCCTCGTAAAATGGAAAAAGTGGTGTTGAGCATCGGCTCGCATGTAAGTTATGATTTACACGAAGAAAAAGAGATTAAGGGAGCGAGAAGTACTATATCCTTACACCAACAAGAGCAATAGTGCAGTTCTTACGGTCGTCTCATAGCTGACATTTTGAGGTTCATCGTCAAGGTCAATTAATGGAATTAAAAGAAACATACAGTCAATCATCAGGGAAGAACTTCCTATATTAGCAGTCGTAAGTCATATTTGCTTATTCTTTAGTGTCCAATGGTGTCAAACGCAAGTATGGCTTAATGATTCTGAACTTAGGGAACAAAGTCTTGGCCTCCTCGTTAGTCACGCTAGGGTGAACAATGACGTCGTCACCTGGAACCCAGTTGATAGGGGTAGTCACTCTGTGCTTGTCACCAGTTTGCAACGAGTCCAAAACTCTCAAGACCTCAGCCGTGTTTCTACCAGTAGAAGCAGGATAAGCCAAGATCAATCTGATCTTCTTCTTTGGGTCAATGATGAAGACTGATCTGATGGTGAATTGGACACCCTTGTCATCAACATTAGTAGCATCTTGGTAGTCGATCATGTCGTACAAGTGAGCAACTTTTCTCTGGGCATCAGCCACAATTGGGAATGTCAACTTGGAACCGGTAATTTCATCAATGTCCTTGATCCAGGCCTTGTGAGACTCAGTACCATTGGCCGACAATCCAATGAGCTTGGTGTTTCTCTTCTCAAACTCAGGTTGCAACTTAGCAAAAGCACCCAACTCGGTGGTGCAAACAGGAGTAAAGTCGTCTGGGTGCGAGAACAAAATGGCCCAAGAGTCACCAATGTACTCGTGGAAAGAAATTGGGCCGTTGGAAGTTTCGGCAGTAAAGTCTGGCGCGGTCGAGCCCAATCTCAAGGTTCCCTTTGGAATGTCAGACATGTCGGAATATATGGAGTAAAGAAAGTCGGTTGGATCTTCAACTGCTATGCCAGCATGGCGAATAAATACCACGATACACGCACTCCTATCGCCAGATCACCGCTTTTCACGTGCCATGACTCCACATGCGCGCAACTTCTGTTCCCTAATCTGTGGCTTGTATAGAATTCTAGGCGTAATATTACTGCCTCAGTTACAACTGACGAGGAAACGAAGATAAGGGTGCGTTTACTCTCATAGGACGATAACGCGGCTGTCAATTTACTTTTGGTTTGGATTTTGGCGTCCAATTATCCATCATCTTAACATCGATTTCTGTATGGCTGAGAATCTACAAATGTAAAAGTATTTTCCATTTTTCTGGTTTCACTTGCAACGAAAAGATGTCTTGTGATGTTTGAGCGGGCTTCGCCGAGTTAACTATATTCATGGACCATTTTTTGTGTTTTTGCATTTTGGTGAACATCGAGGAGTGCATGCTTATCAACCTCAGGTGCGAGCCTCTTCAAGGAAGGGTAAAACTGGCAGACTCAACCAGTGTAAGCTTCATCATAAAAACGATATTCACATTGGTGTACACGCAGTAGGACAATATTAGCAGCCGTTTAATGAAAAAAACCTAGTTCTTAGAAAGCATTTTTATTACTTATGTTGAAGAAAAACTTAAATACCTTGCGAGCAAACGCAAGCCACAATACTAGGATGATCTATCAAACGGTTTTACTTCCAATTGAACATGATTATGGCCAAAGCAATGTTTGTGAACCCTGCCTTTATGGCAACCACAGAAGATATGTCATTCAAGTAACCAAAAATAAAAAAATACACCGAGTTCAAAGGAAACTTTCAATTAACGAGAAGAAAAGCATTAGTTGGTTACCTCCTCTAACTTAGAATCAGACGACGTTGTATAATTACCAGTGCAGATATTGTGGGACGCTTGTGATGATTTTTATGCTGCGCTTCCATTACAAAAGAGCACCATGGTTGATACGTGTAAATTCCGTTCTCTTCAATAGGATTTGCTCCTTATTTATGCCAAAGTGCCTTCATCCTCTGCTTCAACATCGACCCCGAAATCGTTGAGAGTTTCTCCTAAGTCATTCATCCATTCTGTGCGGGCCATATGGCTCCGAGGATCTAAATGCTTCTTGATAAGTGTATAATTTCCAATTTGACGAAGCTCTTCATCAGTCAATTCCCGCGGCTCAAAATCAACATTTCCTCCATCTGGGGGCCATGGAAGGTTTAATTGATCGTCGTCATCTGTAACCTCAAAACTATATCCATTCCCCTTGGGCATTCCCCAAGGCAAAAGCCATGTCCATGGGCTACCCAAGGCTGTAGTCAAGTTTCTCCAAAGGCCGAGATCATACGGAAACACTAGATCATCTGGTGTGAACATCGCAGGAACAATTGCTTCATCCTCACCGTCCATTTCCATTCCTTCCATCTGCTCGTACATGCGAGCCGAGAGATTCCAAGAGGTTAGCCGTGGCATCTCTTTACCGTGGACCAATTGGTAATTATGTCTGATTTTTTTCCAAAAGCGCTCAGTGTGGAATTGGGCCTCGATGCGCTCCATTTCCCACACTTCAATCTGGGTTTTCCCGGAACAGATGTGCAAGAGACACCGAAGGAAAAGCACAAGAATAGCGAAAAAAATGAATGCATCAAGGGGCCATAATGCAATCACAGCAGCCATCTCAGACTTATTGATGAGATACACTGGCATATCTCTCTTATTGTAGTATTCTATCGCTCTCTTCAGCAAGCCCACCAAAGTTATTGATGTACCCAATAGAACACTAACCAAGAAGCGCATGAAATGAGGAAGGTTTCTGTAACCTACACAGTTATTTGTCCAAGGACAATGGTGGTCCATTTGTAGGACGCAAGTGTTGCACTTGCGACAATGATGTGCTCTTTCAGGTTTATAGTTTTGGCACTTCTTGCACCACTTTTTCCAGTGGCGCTTAGGAACTTGGTAGTTTTTCGGCGGCGAACCGGGTGAAACTTGGATTGCAAGAAAGTAATACACCCATATCATTGTGATGCATACCTGGTAGCTGATCTGGGCCGCAGGATCCATGTGGAACCGAAAAACGAAGTAATGTGAACCATATCCAAGAACGGCAATGATAAGACAAGGAATCTGATGTTAGTTAGTATGTAATGCAAGAAATGAGAAACATAAGACATACGGCAATACCGATCCACGGCCACTTTAGTTCCCACATTGGTGATAACGCGAAAATGATCGAAAAACGAGAGCGGTTCACATTAAGTAGTATACACCAGACAATCAACCCAAAACTAAAAGCAAGTAACAAAAAAAAGAGATACAAAAAAAACCAATCAGCCTACTAATAGAAACTATTACCATAAAAATGCTCTTTCGGGGACGCTTCATTGAAAAACAATGTATTTATAGTTCGCTACAGTGACTCTATATCACAACGGATCCCCGGTTCGCAGATAAGGAGCAGCACAAATACCACGCCCTTTAATAGTAGAACATTAGAGATTCATCGGCTTCACCCAAGGTCCACCCGGCTCGTTTCTCGTGCTCATGTACTCTTTAAAATAGTGTTGAACCATGTGTACTGCATCTGGCTCAGTAGCACTTAGGTATCTTCAAGTGGCGATCTCACTCCAACATTTATCCTCAAAAACCCAATGGTAAGTACAATCTAAGACTCAAACAAAACATCATTCGCTAACAATTAGACCTCAATCGGCACTGGTTACGATTTGTCCAACAGTGTTTTCTCGCCAGGTATGTATTTCTCAATCTCCTCCACCAGACGGCTTTGAACTAACATTTAGACGGCAGAAACTTCCAAGTGGAGTACGCCATGAAGGCTGTAGAGAACGGCGGAACCTCCATCGGTATCAAGGCCAAAGATGGAATTGTATTGGCGGTGGAAAAAATCATAAATTCTAAATTGCTTGTTCCAGGCAGAAACAAACGAATTCAGACCATCGACAGACACGTTGGCGTGGCATACTCTGGCTTATTGCCCGACGGACGCCATTTTGTCAAGCGTGGCCGTGACGAGGCACAATCGTTCCGGTCGCTATACAAAACGCCGGTTAGTTTGCCATACTTGATGGACAGATTGGGACTTTATGTCCAGATGTACACGTGCTACAACTCTGTCCGCCCGTTCGGTGTTCTGTCCATTGTTGGCGGTATGGACGAAAATGGACCTCATTTGTATATGGTTGAACCCAGCGGAACTTACTGGGGCTACACTGGTGCAGCTACAGGTAGAGGAAGACAAACAGCTAAATCCGAGTTAGAGAAATTGGATTTCGAGCAGTTGACGGCGAGAGAGGCAGTTAAACATGCTGCCCGAATCATCCACCAGGCGCATGAGGATAACAAGGACAAGGATTACGAGTTGGAAATCTCCTGGTGCACCGTCGAGACTGGAGGAAAGCACGAATTTGTTCCTGAAGATTTGTTGGAGGAGGCTACCAAGCTTGCACAGGAAGAGGAAGAGGAAGAGGAAGAGGACGACAATGACGAAGACACCGAAATGAGTTGAGTTATATAGAATTCCCATCGAAATGGAGGTGAGAACTGAAGAAGGATTTTTAAAGAATGCAAGAATTGTGTACAGCAAGTCCCAATGCAAGCATTGAAAAGAGTATTACAGGAAAACATGTAGAAGTATTGGAGAAGACTAAACGAAAAGCTGTCAGAATTTAGTTTGGATTCTAATAAGCCCGAAGCTAACTTCGACATCCCACCAACAAAGTATACCCCCATTGTTCCGCACAAAACTGCTTGAGTGGAGGACGCCTTCTCTGCAATGCTCAACTAAAGCAGCAGACCTCAATAGGCTTCCGCTTTTCTCTAGCTCCTTTTCAAGATGACTCCTCATACAACGTTATATTTGTCATTCTACATATATGTTGTATCTTCATAGTTTCCTATTCTGTAAGCGCGGTGCGCATCACCTCCATACTAAGTATCGTCTACGCGAATGTAAACACTTCCACACATAATCAAAACGCTTCTGAGACAGTATCAAATGGCGCTACCGAGCCCAAATGCCTCCAGTGATACAGTGGATTGTAATGGTGCTAGCCCTCTTCTTTCTCCAAACACCACGTTCGGGTGTACCGCTGATTCTAGTCTGTTTATCACATATCCCAGTCGCATGCCTGATCAATCCACGCTGGGAGAAGTACACCAAGAAGCTACGGACATGAAGGCGACCGAAAATCAACTGCTCAAAGCTGACCACGATATTCCCTTTCGAAATGATGCGTCATTAGCATATACCTTCCCAAAGCATTCATTTTCGAGCGTAGAAGACAAAGATCAGTCTGCTATTGACGCCGAAGAAGAAGAGAGCACAAAGTCAACACGAGAAGAAGATATAATCATAAGCGAAGATATTCACCCTAATAAGAAAATACCCGGAGAGCTGGAAGTTCTAAACGATACATCGAGCGAAGTCTTAAACATAAGGTCCACCGACATCTCCAATGACATATCAAGCCAACCAACTAAGGGCAAAGGTAACGGCGCCATAAGTGTCGCTAGAAATTTTTTGAGTGAACCAAATCAGAACAAACTTTCTATCAGATCGTCAACCACACCGGAATCTGATCGTCAAGAAACGGCACCTATTGGTGATGCTCAGGAGTCCATTAAATCTTCATTGATATCAGAAGAACACTCCTTTTCGAGTAATCCCAGCTTGAGCTCAAATGTGGTCCCTAGTGAGAGTGTACCCCGAGAAAAACAACATGAAGATTATGAAGCACAAGCATACCACCAGAAGTCAAAGATCTCTAGTCCTGAAAACAAAGAACAATTCAGTGCATTTTTCAAATCTGAAACTTCATTCCCCAGCTTACCATCTTCACCATTAGGAAAACTGCGATATGCCAGCTCTCCAGCAAATAGTTTTTCCAGTCATAGCGACGAAACAAATTTTCAAGACTCATCACTTTTCAATAATACGCGGGAACAATTTGACCTTGATATTGATATCGATAATCGAAAGTTTAGCGGAGAGACAAAAGTGTCTCCCTGGAGGAAAATTCAACCACGGATTCTCGGAAATGTGAACGGTTTCTCCTCCAGAAGAATAGCAACACAGAGCACAATTGCGGAAACTTCTTCAAACCACAGAATTGAAGACCTTTCAAAGCAGTTGACTGACTGCAAAATTCAACTAAAATTGTACGAAAAATTCTTGCAAGATTTGATTGATACAGATAAGGTTGACATTGATCATGTTGCAAGTCTCAAGAA